CTGCGCGCATCTCCCTTGCTGGCCACACTGTGCGCATCTCCCCCGCCGGCCACACTGCGCGCATCTCCACCCGCTGGCCCCACTGCGCGCATCTCCCTTGCTGGCCACACTGCGTGCATCTCCCCCGCCGGCCATACTGCGCGCATCTCCACCCGCTGGCCCCACTGCGCGCATCTCCCTTGCTGGCCACACTGTGCGCATCTCCCCCGCCGGCCATACTGCGCGCATCTCCCTTGCTGGCCACACTGTGCGCATCTCCCCCGCCGGCCACACTGCGCGCATCTCCACCCGCTGGCCCCACTGCGCGCATCTCCCTTGCTGGCCACACTGCGCGCATCTCCCCCGCCGGCCATACTGCGCGCATCTCCACCCGCTGGCCCCACTGCGTGCATCTCCCTTGCTGGCCACACTGTGCGCATCTCCCCCGCCGGCCATACTGCGCGCATCTCCACCCGCTGGCCCCACTGCGCGCATCTCCCCCGCCGGCCATACTGCGCGCATCTCCACCCGCTGGCCCCACTGCGCGCATCTCCCTTGCTGGCCACACTGCGCGCATCTCCCTTGCTGGCCACACTGCGTGCATCTCCACCCACTGGCCACACTGCATGCATCTCCCCTGCTGGCCACACTGCATGCATCTCCCTTGCTGGCCACACTGTGCGCATCTCCCCCGCCGGCCACACTGCGCGCATCTCCCCCGCCGGCCACACTGTGCTCCGCACCACACACAGCGCTGCCCCGTGTTTGCTTTACCTGCCAACGTGCAACATGTTCCAGTGCCTCCCCAGCATCTCATTTATGTTTAGCGGTTGTCACATATTTTATCTGTAGGTGAGCCGTAGTTCATTTAGCCACTGTTATATGTAATATTCACATATAGACACTTTTACGCACATATTTTTCTTTTTTTAAGTATATTTTTATTGATTTCAGAGAGGGAGGGAGAGGGAGAGAGAGATAGAAACATCAATGAAGAAAGAGAATCATGGATCGGCTGACTCCTCTGCACACCCACCCCGGGGATGAAGCCTGAAACCCGGGCATGTGCCCTGACCGGGAATCGAACCCTGCCCTCCTGGTTCATCGATCACGCCAGCTGGGCCACATGTGCTTTTTCTGGCCTGAATTCCTCTCAGGGGAATTCCTGGTGTCGGAGAGCACGTGCATCTTTAGGCTCCTGCAGACGGGGAGGCGGGGCTCAGGGAGAACTGGCCGAAAAACCCCATGTGGGCTAGGAACTGAGCCCCCTCCCTCACCGTGTCTTTCAGGCCCAGCACGTCCTGATTTCCCCGGAAGTAAGTACCGGGAGTGAGGGGGGCTGCGGGGGCCCTGCCCCTCCTGGGAGCTGTCCGCGGGGCGCGTCTCCCAGGGCCTGTCACCGCTCTCTCTGCAGGCGAGCTCGCGGTTCGGGAGCGGCCTGGTCACCGTGCCGTCCCAGGACAAGGTGGGGCCAGGGCTGGGCTCCGGCATGCTGTCCCCGGGCTGGGGTTTGGGGGGGGCCTCATTCAGACAGGTTGTTTTCACTTGGGAAAGAGAGGAACACCCCTCACCATACACACACCCCATGGGAGAGGTCCTCGAGGACAGGTGGGTTCACAGCTCTGTCCCTTCGGCGCCCGGGGAGCGCGGGACTGAGGACAGGGAGCCGGAACCAGGCGAGGCCCCACCTGAGCTGTTTCTGCTGCCTCTGGTGGGCTGGGACGGGCACGGGCGTGGGTGAGGAGCGGACCCTCTGGTGGGCTGGGACAGGCACGGGCGTGGGTGAGGAGCGGGCCCTCTGGTGGGCTGGGATGGGCACGGGCGTGGGTGAGGAGCGGGCCCTCTGGTGGGTTGGGACGGGCACGGGCGTGGGTGAGGAGCGGACCCTCTGGTGGGCTGGGACGGGTACGGGCGTGGGTGAGGAGCGGGCCTTCTGGGCCCCAGGTGGGCAAGACAGCCGAGGTCCCGGCCCATGTCTCCAGGTCCTCTGATGACTAATGCTCTGTCTCTCCAGAACCAAGTGGTCGTGGCTGCGGAAAGGAGCTCTCTGGGAGCCCGACTGGCCGGGGCGCTTCACGTCTACAGCCTGGACTCAGACTGGAGCCCTGCCCGTGTGCCCGCCGCCCCCGCGGACACCGGGAGAACCTGATGGAAGGAGGTGAGGCTCCTGGGAGTGGAGACACGCGCAGCCAGACTGTCTGGAAACGAAACAGTGCGTCCGACTGCGCCATAAGCACGCGGCATCGTGGGCACCGGCCGCTCTCCTGCCTAAGTTAACCCCTAAGACAGCACGTGGACACCGGCGCGCAGGAAACTAACACCCGCGGCCGACGCATTAAATGCTCACGGCGTGATTCTGAATGGAAATACCGTCTAGAGTTCTGGTCTCATTAACACACACCTGAACTTATAAGTTTAACTCAAAATTACCTTTATTTCAAGATCTCAGAACACATTCCCATATATTGGCAGTTGTTGGTTTACATGTTTTTTGCAGCGTTTGTCTGTGCGACAACTTTCTTCAGAGCGAAGGGGCGGGAACGCTTGGTGCCTAACAGACCAGCTCTGATGGGAAGAGTGGGGTGAACGCGGGCTCCACCATTAGACCTCCTCCTCGGGGTCACACAAGTAAACCCGAAACTGAGCTGGGATTTAAACATGGCAGTTCCCCAAACGAGGCTGCACAGCTCTGGGGGCCTCAGCAGGACAGCCTCTCGGGGGCTCTGTGGGGCTGCGGCCTGTGCAGCGGGGGGAGGGGGTGGAGCTCCCTCAGAGGCCGGCCTCCGCGGTCCTGGCACGGGAGCTCGGTGAGCGGCGCAGCTTGCTCACTGCCTCACGCTGCTGCGCATTTGGTGCTGTAGCGCCTACTTCCAAAGAATCGTTTGCGCTCAGTCCATTTCAACTCAAACCTGAAAACCGCTGAGCGCTGTGCGTGTGGGCACAGGCTGTCCCCGCTGGAGATGTCGGTGTAAGGGGCCCCGCTGTCTCTGCGCTGGGCTGACACCCGGACCCTGCTCATCGCCCACCAGGAAGCCCCTTTACCAGCCGAGGTAGGTGCACTATTTCCCTTTTATCCGCGGACACGACTCTCCCCAAAGCCACAAGCGCACACCAGAAGGCAACACCAATCGATTCTACGCCTGGTCCGTCAAACGGAACTCTGCTCTCTGGGCGACCCTCCTGTCACAATTGAGGGTTATGACCCGTTTTACAAGAACAGGACCAAACCTGGCACAGGGAGCCTCTGCCCACGGGGACTGCATGTGGCCCTGGTGACCACAGGGCTTTCAGCCACGGCAGAGTGTGGAGCGCAAGAAACTTCACCTGTGTTCTTCACATCAGCCGGGGGATAGCAGCTTTATTCCGATCGCCAAGCCCCGTACAGGGGCCTGAGCCACTGCCTCCCAGTGTCCTCTGGAGCCGGGGCCCAGAGCACGGGGTGCCTTTGTGATGCCCGCCCGCGCTGCCTGCAGGGCTGCTTTGGATGAGGGGTATGGTTAGGGCTAGGGCAAGGCTATGATTAGGCTCAGGGCTAGGGTTAAGGGGTATGGTTAGGGCTAGGGCAAGGCTATGACTAGGCTCAGGGCTAGGGTTAAGGGGTATGGTTAGGGCTAGGGCAAGGCTATGACTAGGCTCAGGGCTAGGGTTAAGGGGTATGGTTAGGGCTAGGGCAAGGCTATGATTAGGCTCAGGGCTAGGGTTAAGGGGTATGGTTAGGGCTAGGGCAAGGCTATGACTAGGCTCAGGGCTAGGGTTAAGGGGTATGGTTAGGGCTAGGGCAAGGCTATGACTAGGCTCAGGGCTAGGGTTAAGGGGTATGGTTAGGGCTAGGGCAAGGCTATGATTAGGCTCAGGGCTAGGGTTAAGGGGTATGGTTAGGGCTAGGGCAAGGCTATGACTAGGCTCAGGGCTAGGGTTAAGGGGTATGGTTAGGGCTAGGGCAAGGCTATGATTAGGCTCAGGGCTAGGGTTAAGGGGTATGGTTAGGGCTAGGGCAAGGCTATGATTAGGCTCAGGGCTAGGGTTAAGGGGTATGGTTAGGGCAAGGGCAAGGCTATGATTAGGCTCAGGGCTAGGGTTAAGGGGTATGGTTAGGGCTAGGGCAAGGCTATGATTAAGCTCAGGGCTAGGGTTAAGGGGTATGGTTAGGGCTAGGACAAGTCTATGGTCAGGCTTAGGGCTGGGGTGAGGGTTAAGGGAATGGTTAAGGCACAAGGAGCTGAGTGGCTCAGAGACGGCCTGGCACAGGGGTGCTGGTGGAGAAGAGGGTGAAGCCTGTGACTGTTTTGAGGGACACAGGAGGGGTCAGCTGAGCCCGCCCTGGGGATCTGGTCTCCCTGGCCCCCAGAAGATTGGGGGTTGTGCCCTAGGAAGTGCGTTTTAAACACCCACCCAGGTAGGTGAGGAGCAGGTCCCGGGAATCGCTGAAAACATGGGGGCCTGGGAAGGCTGGAGCGGGTGGGGGAGGCTCGAGGTCGCCTCCCCCCGGGCGCTGGCATATGGGTGAATGTTGGCTCAGGCCAAGGGAAGGTGGGACCTGAGGGGTGAGGCGGACTGTCCCTAGAGCCCAGGGAGCCTCTCTGTCCTCGTGAGCCCGAGGCTGGGCTGTCGGGGGAGGAGACAGAGGTGTGTGGGTGGCTGCCTTAAGCTCTGGGCAGAGGGTTAGAGTTAGGGTAGGGTTAAGTCTAGGGGTAGGGTAGGGTTCGTCGAGGCCTAGGGCTAATGTTAGGGCTAGGGGGACCCCTGCCTTGAACCTCCAGAAACAGGAAAGGTTGGGCGTCAAGGACGGCAGCTCTGAGGCGAACAGCCATCAGCCACTGCTCTGACCCAAGCTCTGGTTGAAAGCGAAGGGGAAGGCAGAGCTAGGCATCTCCCCTCCTGCAGCCTGGGGGTGCCCTCCCCCCCCCGCCAGGAACTGAGGACACTCTTTCAGCTCTACTTCCAAAGGCATAGTTGCAGCCAAGCAAACAGCAGTTTGGGGTTGAAAGCTGAAATCTTGATGAACTGGAATCCACATAAAGCTGACGTGAGAGGACCGTGCCCTTTTATTCACCGCCATGAAGGGAGCGAGTGGAAGACACTAAGGCGCTGCCCGCGGCCCCAGCACGGACTGCGGAGTGTGAGGCTGGTGTGCGCGGCCAGCCCTCGCCGCCTGGGCAGGCTGTTCGCGGACGGGCCCGTCTCCGCACCGCGGCTGCTGGACACTCCTTTTCTCGATGCGCATGGAGTCAGGTCCAGGCCGCACCGCGGTTCAGTCAGCCCCTGCCTGCCTCCGGCTGTGAAGGCAGCTCTGCAGGCTGCAGAGTCCTGGCCTCTGACCAAGAAGCCCCTGGTCTCCTCGGAGCCCGGAAAGCGCGGTCACGTCCTGGTCGGTCGCTCGCCGGGCCTCCCTCGGACGACAACGTCGCTCTGTGCTTGGCTCGGTCTCACCAGCGACTGCCGTGCAAGCCGCGCTCACCGGGGCGTGAGGACGCTCCTGCTGGACCCCAGCCCGTCCGGCCTGAGGCTGGGCTTCGTGTCCAGCCGCCCGTCTGCCCGCAGTGTCTTCCTAGGCAAGGAGGCCACCTGAGCAGAGCAGGAAGCAGCGTGTTAGTGGTGTCTTTCCTACAAGGCAGGCCATCCCGTCACCGCTGAGGGGACCCGCCCACGGACCAGTGTGTCATGTGGGACGGGAGAAAGGGCAGTAACCTCTCTTCTCCCAGTGACAACGCTGGCGCCTGCGTTTCCGTTTCGTAATGAAGCCGCAGCAGGGTCACTGCCATCTCCTGGGCTGCGGTGCTTGTCCCCACGTCCCCCCGTCCCCCCTCCTCCCCCCAGCAAGCAGTCCTCCGTGTTCTGGGCAGCTCCTAAGTGCTTCACACACATTGTCTTACTCAGCTTCCCTAACCCCGCGAGGCAGGTGGTGCTGACGTGACTGGCGGTGGGGAACCGAGTGGCTTTGAGGCATTAAATAACTGCTCAGGGTCCAGGAGTCAGCCTGACCCACACCGGCTGTGGCGTGACAGCCATGGCTGTGACCGCTCGGCCTCCGGCTGGGACCCGCACTACGTACCATCGGAGGCACGGGAGCCTCTAGCTGCCGCCCGAGGAAGGACAGCAGCCGCCTCCAGATCAGGCCACTGCCCATGAACATGATCCCGGTGATCAGCCAGAACACCCTGTGGTCCTGGAAGAAAGCAGCGTGCGTGTGGATCACGGAGGCCCTGGGGGAGGTTCGTCTGGTTCTGACCTTGAGGGCATCCAGGGCTACTGAACCACTGGAGGCCGGAGTGGCCTCAGGTTCATGTCTCTTAACGACCACTTTTCAAGGTGAACAGGGGTCCCGATGGAGACCATGGGCAGCGCAGGCTGGCAGCCAGAGACACGGCCCGTTGGACTCGCCAGGACACACAACCAGAGCCAGAGCGTGCTGAGCACAGGGTCGGGTTCATGCCTAGGAGTCTGACAGGGACGAGCCGAGCCCGGCCAGCGCCACGCCACGTTCCCATGCCAGGTGCAGAGCAGAGGGACTGCAGGTCTCTGGGTTCAAATGCGACTGTGACGCTCAAGCTCTGCCCTGGACAAGTTACTGACGTTTTCTGGGCCTCACTGTTCTCATCTGTGAAGTGGGAACAATCACGCCCACTTTCAGAGCTGTGACGGCTGAGCCACACGCTGTGCCACTGGCCAGGGCGCTGCCTGCCTCCCGCACAGCCAGCGTGACTCCGTCTGAGAAGCAGGAAGCCTGCTGTCTGTGCCATGGAGACAAGGTCTGGAGCCTGCCTGGCTGTGGACGGGCCAGAGAGCACATTTCCTGTCCCGAGGGGAGTGGACAGTGAAGACCTCCTTTTTAAAGTCTGTTTTAAAAACGGACCTTCAAAACATGAAAAAACAACCCCTGGCTCACTGAAACAACACCCTCACCTCCTCAAGGGACGATTCCAAATTCATTCCAAAGGCAACTCCGATCAGGCCGAAGAGCGAGAGCGAGAAGGTGCCCATGGTCAGCTGCAGGTTCAGCCGCATCATGACGTTGCGGTGGCTGCGGGACAGCGTCGGGTCAGCCGGCCCACGGCCAGGGCCCCCGGGGCCTGCAGGCACTGCCCGCCCCCAGGAGCCAGGCTCACGCTGGCCGGCCGGCCGGCTGCGGCTGGCGCACCTCTCCCTGAGCGGCCCCTCCGCCGCGCCCACCTGTCCAGGTTGAGGAAGATGACACTCTGTGAGTCGTCGATCAGCGCCCGCAGCTCGCGGGCCGCGTGCGCCAGGTCCTCGGCCAGCCGGTGGCAGTTCTCCAGCAGCAGCTCCATCTCCTCCGCGTGGTCGATGCCCGCGCTGCTCTGCTCACTCCAATCACAAGCGCCACGTAAGCAGCGCCCACGCGCCACACACCCAACCCCCGCGTGAGCACATGACGCTCGCTCCCAGCGAGCCCACTCGCCTACCCTGTCTGTCACGGCCGTCTGAGGGCCGTCCCCTGACCCCGAGCACCACACAGGGAAGTCCCCACACAGGCCCCTGCTGCACAGGGAGGGAGCCCCACTACCCGTGACAGCGACATCCAGACGTGTGACGCGGACGGACGGGTACAAGTTAGTACAAACCAGTGAACCAAAACCACAGGCCGAGGACGAAGGCAGAGATTCCCTGCCCCAGGCCCTGGCCCCGAACAGAGCGATGTTATGAGGATGCGACACAGCTTTTCCCCCCCAGGAGGCGGGGCGAGCTCCACCAGCCACGCTGCCGCCTGGCAGAGGAGACCCGCCCAGGACACAGCGAAGGGCGACAGCATGTCCCCGTTTCTGCTGCTAGTCCTTGCTGGGCCCAGCTCTTGTCATCTCAGCTTCCTTATGGGAGAGAGGTGACGCTTAAACCTGCAGACCGTCCTCTGTGCACATTACAAAGCGTCTGTGAGAGTTTCTGACCCTGATCTACAGACAACAGTGGAACACCGAGTGCAGGAGCCCCAAGCTCCGAGCCCGAGGGCCCTGAGGGAGGGCCCAGTGCCCGGAGGGAGGACCAGTGCCCGGAGGAAGGCTAAGGGCCCGCGAGGGGATGGCTAAGGGCCCCCGAGGGAGGCTAAGTGCCCCGAGAAGAAGGAGCTCGCCCTGGGAGTCGGGGCAGGAAGGCCACTCACAAGACCTCGGGGTCGCTCCACTTGCTGAGGCAGAGCTCCTCCAGCCGCTCCTCGTCGTCCAGGATCTCCAGGATCGCCTCCTTGAACATCCGGACGTCCGTCTCCAGCTCGGACAGGCTGAAGGGCAGGTGCATGGGCGTGATGGCGCCATGGACTACGGACCCGTGTCACCATGAGGACAGTGCCCCCCCTCGCACACAGGGATGTGTCAGCGGTGCTCTGCCTTCTACACGCAGACCGAGAACTGAGCCCCCAAGCAGGGCCTGGACAGAGCCGGACGCAGCCTTCCTGCCCCATCACCCTTCCCTCCACTCGGCGCCCTGACAGGAAGTCACCATCAGCAGCACTCGCTGGCACTTTAAAGACCAGGATGACCCCACGGATTGTGTGTCTGGGCTGACACTACACACGTCACTGAGAACCAGGACAGGGAAGTGCCGGACACCTGCTCACCTTTTGCCGTTTTGCAGCAGGATGTGCAGTTTGCTTCTGTCCACAGAGGAGTGTTTGGGGTCCACTAACGCCTCCAGCGTGTCGAGGATCCGGGGCTCCAGCAGGCGCAGCTTCCCCTGCAGCTTGCTGATCTAGAGCAACATGACCTCGTGTGAGAAGCCAACCTTTTCAGAACGCTCAGGGCCAGTGAGCCCTGGGGTCAGACACCGTCTGGAACAGCTGGGGCAGTGGGTAATGCTGCAGAGTGCGACCTACAGGAACGGCTGTCCCGGTGGCCCAAACACCCGTCTGCTGGGGACAGAGGACCAGGCACATGCTGTTACCAGGCTCGCCCCTGAGGGGGACTAACTCCTGTCACAAAAGGCGGGAGGATCGATTAAGTGGAAGGAAATCCGCCCTTCCGTGGTTACAACTCGAACTTCCATTTGGTAAATGCATCTGCTCTTTGTAAACAGAGTACAGTCCAAACTCCTATGAACAAAACTCTTTGGAAACTAAAACACAGCTTGACTTAAAAATAAATCGGTGTGAAGTCAGAAGTGCTCCTTATCCAGGCCCGCGGCATGGGGCGCCCGGCGGGTGCGCACTGAGACAGCCGTGCCAGCGGCTACGGCGCCGGGACCCGCCCCTGCCGCGGGAACCGCAGTGAGACCGACGGCACACATTCCAGCAGATGCACCTCCCGCCGGGCAGCTGCGCCCATGGCAGCTCCTCTCCTCGCCCTCGCCTGCGCTGTCCTGGCCTAACGTGTCTTCCTCCTCGGCAGCATTTGGACCAGGACCAATGCAGCCAGCTGCATGACGGGCTTACCCGGTACTGCAGGAGTGCTTCCATGGCTCTGAACTCAAAGGGCAGAGGGTACGTGACCAGCTGGCCCTCTCCGGCCAGCTGCGCGGGGAGCTCCCGGAACAGCCACTGCTCCAGGTTTAAGTGACGATAATCCAGGATCAGGAGACACTCGGGGGTGATCACCGCTTTCAGGTACTGCGGGGAAAGAGGGTGTGACAGGCGAGGGTTCTACAAGGACGGTGCCCGTTGTGCTAGAAGAGCAACACAGGAAGGAGCCTGTGCCACTGCGTCAGTGATATAAAGCCTACAGGGTGGTTTCTTCACACCTTTTCCAACATTTTATTATGAAAATGTTTATACAGAAAAAGTACACAGTGAACACCCACGTCCGTGCCATCTACACAATGAAATGGCGGCTAGCTTTGTTTTGCCGCATGCTTCCCTACCCGCCTCAGAGCTGCGTCTGTTCCAGAGTCACTTTAAGCCGGGCTGACGGCGCCGGGAGAGCTCACCTCCATCCTCAGGATGATCCTGTTGTTTCTGGTGGCGATGCTCACGAGGTGCTGGAAGCGCAGATCTCTGGCCTGAAGACCTAACTCTTGGTACAAGTCCGTTTTCTTCCTTTCTGAAAAAGAAAGGTTTTCAAGAAAAAGAAGTGGCTGGTCTAATCCAGCAAAGAGCTTAGTCTTCGTATCAGAGCACCCCCCCCCAAATCAAGATAGTGTGTTATTACCAGAAACCAAAGATAGCAGGAGTGTTTTAAATGCCTGTTTTTACCTCAAGGACACACTCAGGCTAACGCTAGTCTGACTCTAGTATTCTTCCTCCTCCTTCCCCGCTTTATGAAGCCTCTCTGTGCGCAGGCGCTCCCCGGGGCGGAAATAGAACCACGCGCGCCTGGCAGAGGGGTGTGGCACCTTTAACAGGACCTGCATTCTGTTATTTCTCACTCCCTTATCACCTTCGATATTTTAAATCTGGGAACAGAGAGGTTCAATTTTCTTTCTTCTTGGACTAACACAAAACGAGAAAAAGTCCGTCCTCAGACTAGACTCTCGGCCTGAAAACTCAATGTATTCCCCAAGAGGAAGCAGGTCCCAAGCGGTGGTACTGGCGACACTACTGTCTGCACCTGTCCAGTCGAACCACAGGTGTGGCAGCGCTCCAGGCAGAACAGCCTTCGAAGGAGCTACTGAACAAAAACACCGAAACGTGTCCGAGGACCTCAGGAACAGCAGGAGGGGTCATGGAGGGGTGCGTGGGAGACCCGAGCCTGCCTCCGAGGTCAGACCGTGAAGGGATCGTGACACTTTAGAAACAGTGACCAGCAGAGCCCAGCGCCCACCCGCCCCTCGTCTCCTGTCCCCCACTGTTGGTGGAGGCCCCTCGTCTCCTGTCCCCCACTGTCAGTGGAGGCCCCTCGTCTCCTGTCCCCCACTGTCGGTGGAGGCCCCTCGTCTCCTGTCCCCCACTGTCGGTGGAGGCCCCTCGTCTCCTGTCCCCCACTGTCGGTGGAGGCCCCTCGTCTCCTGGCCCCCACTGTCGGTGGAGGCCCCTCGTCTCCTGTCCCCCACTGTCGGTGGAGGCCCCTCGTCTCCTGTCCCCCACTGTCGGTGGAGGCCCCTCGTCTCCTGTCCCCCACTGTCGGTGGGGGCCCCTCGTCTCCTGTCCCCCACTGTCGGTGGGGGCCCCTCGTCTCCTGTCACCCACTGTCGGTGGGGGCCCCTCGTCTCCTGTCCCCCACTGTCGGTGGGGGCCCCTCGTCTCCTGTCCCCCACTGTCGGTGGAGGCCCCTCGTCTCCTGTCCCCCACTGTTGGTGGAGGCCCCTCGTCTCCTGTCCCCCACTGTTGGTGGAGGCCCCTCGTCTCCTGTCCCCCACTGTTGGTGGAGGCCCGTGACTCCGCCTCCCCCAGAACACGGGGGGCATGGCTGCGGACCAGGAGTGAAGAAGAGACGGAGGGAAGAGTGTTCCTGTGCCTTTAACGTCCGGGCAGAGCACGAGTGGCCCTGAGGACAGTCCAGGCACCGCAGCCCCAATGAGGACAGACGGACACGCTGCACAAAGACCGCTCCCTGCACGCACCCATCCACGCTAAGGGTGCTCTGTTCACAGCACCACCTGCCATTCCTTGATTTCCGTCAGACTCACGCATTCAGTGATTAAAAAGAGACGATGCAGAAGAAACGTGAAGATACTCACCAAAAGACGTCACATTTCCTCCTTTGTCAAATTTTGTCTGAAGAGAGATAATAAAAACAAAATATTTTTTTCCCAAATCAGTAAACTCTCTGGTATCACACCATATGGTACTATATCCCACAAACACTGACATACACATGGAAACCCCACTGCCCTTGTTTGGGTTAAAGTCGGTTCTGAGTGAAGGGTTGAAACTCCCTTTTCCTTTGCTGGACACGCTGACCGGGGGCTCTGGAGTTGTCAGTGAAGTCCCACTGGCTGAGCACAACCCCAGGATGAGACGACGCAGGAGAAGTGCTGTCTCTAAGTTATCAGGCGCCTGGCACGCACTCACCACAGTAAACACGGGGGCGACGCTGGCGAGCGTGGCCTGAGCGGCATCGGACGTTCTCAGCAGGTGCGTTTCACCTGGAGAATGAATGAGAGAATTCCGTCAGTCCACGACTGGCTGTCACATGTGGCCTAGAGACAGCTCTCAGGAACGTGGTCTGCAGACTATTCTGCTATTTTTTAAATCTTTTCCTGGAGGAGAAAACACTCATGTGTGCAGTTTGCAGGTGCGTATGTTCGGTTCAACGGGGAAAGGTTTTCAGACGGCTTCGGTGAGGCAGAATTACGGTGGGTTCCCACCACCGTCCTTCCTAATCACCTCCGAGCTGGGTGAACAAATGTTCAACGCGGTGTTGAGACGAAAAGGAAAGGCCCATCTTTTCTGCATAATTTAAAAGGCTCCTCATGCGCACGGCGTCGGGGGGCGTATGTTAGGACGCAGGTCCCAAGTGCCCGGACCCCACACTCCAGGATCAGGTGGGTTGCTTGACCTACGCACTAGGGAACCTACGGACTTGACTTCCTTGTAATAACTTCTTTTCCACAGACACTTTACTGTGGCTACGTGCAAAATACCAACGGAACCGGAATGAAGGCAACGCTACTTGAAAATCAATTTAAACCGCGTGACTGGACTGCGCTGACGGGAGCTCTGAGGTATCACCAGGTCCATTCCGCACCTAACAAAAAGCACTGTTCAAAGCCATGAACCCGAGGGGAGCGGGCGGAGGTGGGAAAACACTTCCCATTATCCGATGCTTCCCAAGCAGACACTCAGCTCTGATCCCCGCCTCCCGCCCTACAGTCTACGATGCTGTCCTTTCTTAGCCCCCAGGCCTGTTGTTACCCATTTGCAAAGTGCAGACCGCATTTTAAGGGTCAGCATTTCCCAGGGCGGAGATTCTGCATCTCAGTGTTTGCCCTAAAACACCAGCCGGGCCTGGCTGCTTTGGCTCAGTGCTCAGAGGTGGGCCTGCAGCGGGGGTTCAAGTCCCAGTCAAGTGCAGGAGGGACCCCAGCTGTAGGTTCCCCAGCCCTGGGAGGGGTGCGAGCAAGAGGCAACCAATCGATGCCCCCCCCCCGCCCGCCCCCGCCACTCTCTCTAGAAATCAATGGAAAAAATGTCCTAGGGTGAGAATTTTTTAAAAAGAGACCTCTGACTATTAAATTATAAGCAATAACAAAAAAAAACCATCGGACGGGCTGAACCCGGGGAGCGTGGCTGGGAAGGAGGTGGAGGCGCCGGGTTGCGTTGGGAGCGCAGCCGACTGCCGGCAGCGCGAATGGGGAAGCCGGGCGCTTCAAGGCCGCGGGCTGCTCGGCCACATGAGCACCGCGCGCTCCGGTTGGTGGAAATGCCGGCGATCGTCGCGCTTCATCATCCGGCGAAGACGCACCGCTCCCGTCCCTCCTCCGGCCGCACCGACCCGCCGGCGGTCGGCCGCACTTGACACCACAGTCCGCCCTTGCTCGGTGCGGTTCTTACCCAAGTCTCCCCAGGGCGACCCACCCCGTTCCCGGGACAAGCGGAACGGCGCCCGCGAGGAGGACACCTATCCAAGTATTTCAGGCGGCGGGGCCCGATCCTGACTTCCCAGCTGTCACGAAGAGTAAGGGCGACGCTGGATTCAAAAACGACGGGTGCCCCGGGCGCTTCGGGCGGGAGCTCTGCCCCGGGACCGCGAAGAGGAAGGGCCGGCCAGGGGCCCGAGGTCACCGCGGAGTCCGGGGCTGCGGGCGGGGCCGTACCTGCCAGGCGGGGCCCGCGCGGTGCGCCGGACAGCGCGGCCCAGCTCCCTCCAAGGGGTCCGGCGGCGCGCGCGGGGGTCAGGCCCCAGGCCGGAGCGCACAGGACGCGCGGGGGCAGCCGCAGCGCGCGCGGCAGGAGCCGGGGCAGGCCCCGCAGGCATTCCATGGCGCGGCAGCGAGGCGGGGGCGGCAGCGAGCGCCCAGCCCGTCATGCCGGTCGCTGGCGGGTCAGCGGCACTTTGCGGCCCGCGCACGCGCCCAAGGTCCCGCCCTCCCCGCCGCGCACGCGCACGCTCCCAAGGTCCCGCCCTCCCCGCCGCGCACGCGCACGCTCCCGAGGTCCCGCCCTCCCCGCCGCGCACGCGCACGCGGGACGGCCCTGCCTGCCGCGCCAGTGCCGTGCGCGCTGCGCCAGCGCCTCACTTCCTGCGCATGCTCGGAAGGGGCCGTGGGAGCGCGCGCGTCCCGCCCAGGTGCGGGAGGAGGGGCGGGCTCGGCCAGGTGGGGCGCGCTACCTGCCCGAGGCGAGCGGAGGAGCCCAGGCGGGGCCCTGCGGCCCGGGCGCCGCTGGTTTCCGTGAACTAGCGGGAGAGCTCCGTGCTTGGTTGCGCGGGTGGCGGCCCGGGGGTCACTGGACTTGTCCGTCTCCTCCCCGCGTAGCTCAGCTGGCGGCCAGGCCGGGGTCTCAGGTGCAGGTGCTCTGCACTGGGAGGAGCTGATGTCGGGGTGCCCCTTGTGGTGTTTGGAGGACGGTGACACCCTAAATCCTGTCGTTGCTTCCGCACAGCTGCGCCGGGACCCCCTCAGTTCTGCGGTTCCCAGGAGTGCGGTCCACTGGGGAGGCGGGGCCTGTGCTCCGTCCTGTCCTTTCATTTATTACCAGTTCCCGAAGTAATGACTTTGCCCCTAGAATCTTCTAAAGGCAATCAATCGATGAGGCTTTATTTCTATGTGATTGTGAGTTTATTAATATAAACATATTTGGTGTGTTCCAAGAACAGGGTATTTATATTCTAGGGGTTTTTTAGGGTCTGGTATAAGACAGGTCTCTTTTTTTTTAAAATAACCATTTGGGACTAGCCAATGCTTTGTTAAAAATTCATTTTAGAGCCTCGCAGGTGTGGCTCCGTGGATAGAGCGCTGGCCTGCCCACTGCAGGGTCCCGGGTTCGATTCCGGTCAAGGCAGGTGCCTGGCTGAGGGTTGATCCCGGACAGTGGCCGCGGCGCTTGCAGGAGGCAACCAATCGATGTGTCTCTGTCTCCCCCTCCCTTCCACTCTCTCTACAAATCAATGGAAAAGGATCCTCAGGTGAGGATTAACAACAACATTTTTATTTTAAAAATATTTTTTAGCCCTCACTGGTTTTGGTCAGTGGATAGAGCATCAGCCTGCGGACTACAGGGCTCCAGGTTGGATTCCGGTCAGGGCACATGCTGGGGTGCGGCTCATCCCCAGAGGGGAGCGTGCAGGAGGCAGCTGATCGATGATTCTCATGATTGATGTTTCTCTCTCTCCCTTCCCCTTCCTCTCTGAAAGCAATAAAAAGTACTTTTATTGCTTTCAGGAAGGGAGAGGGAGAGAGAGAGAAACATCAATGATGAGAGAGAATCATCCATCGGCTGCCTCCTGCACGCTCCCCTCTGGGGATGAGCCGCACCCCAGCATGTGCCCTGACGGGAGCCGGGGTCTGCTGTTGCTTCAATTCCGCTAACATCTCAGTCGTAAAGGGAGGGATAAGACTGTCCCCAGACCAGGCGAGGGAGGCGCAGACCCCGAATTCTTCCAGCGCCCCCAGCATCTCCCGCCCCCACACCTGGAGGCCTCCTTCAGCCCCGCACCCCAGGGTTTCCTTCTTCACATACTTCCTACACCGCGTTTGACTGGTAGCTTCGGTTTCTCAGGACAGACTGTGGGGGTCCTGGTGGGGTCCGCAGACACCCGCCTTGAGGGCGTCCCTGGAGTGTCGGGGTTCAGCCCCTCGCCCCCCAGTTTGCCGGCTCCGTCCCCTGGGCTCCCCTCACTGCCGACAGGGAGACGGTCTGTCTGCCGTGGGCGCTCTGTGATGCCCGCGAAGCAGTTCGCACAGCACCTGCCCGGCCAGTGCTGCTCACCTGTCGGAGGGGGACCCGCCGCACCTGCCCGGGCCCTCCGGGCGGACGGACGGACGGACGGACTGGCCAAAGCCTCCTGCTTCCCGCTGCGGCAGGTGGGCGGCGGGGGGCGGCGCCTCTCCTTCCCGAAGGGGCCGGTTCCGTGGAGCCACCCGCGCTCGGAGGCCGCCGCCGGGGGCGCTGCGCCTCTGCCCACCGCTCGCCCCGGGTTTGCCCGCTGCGGGCGCTGCGTGGCCCCCAGTCCCGCCTGGAGCGCAGGATGCGGTGCCTCGGGGCCCAGAGCCCGGTGAGTGCCGCTCGGGGGAGGGGAGGGGAGGGGAGAGGAGGGGAGGGGAGGGGGGGACTCGGGTCCCACCTGCGCGCACCTGCCCCGCTCTGCACCGATATAGCCCTGCGCGCACGCCGAGCCCTGGGACCCTTGGCGGGCTCCTCGGACCCCACTCTGCTGGGGCGCTGGCGGGGGGAGGCTGGCCTAGGGGTGCGACCTCGGGCGGCCCCCAGGTGCACCGCCAGGTTGGGACTTAGCGGCGAGGAGCAGGTGTTTGCGAGCTCCCAGAACAAACACACACACAAAGGACATTCCTCAGCGCAGTCCTCCAGCAAGTTTGGGCCGCCCCAGGTGGGACCCACAGGTGACCGCGCCCTTTCTTCCGCGCTCCCCTCTTTTCCTGGCAGGTTTCTGCAGAGAGAACCCCCCGGCGAAGAGAGTGGCGGCCTCAGATTTACAGGAAATGCACCGACAAGGCCTGGCTGCTCCTGTTCTTCCTCTTCTGGGCGGGATTGGTGAGCGTGGCCGCCTGGCGGGGAGGAGACCGGTGTGTGGGTCCCCACAGAACTGTGCCCCACCTGTAAATCGCACGGCTAGGCCTTTCCTGGGGGAGCCTAGGTGTGTGTGTGTGGGGGGGGGGGTCGGTCCAGGTGAAAGCTGGTGCCACCATGGGAGGCACCTGCCTAGGGCAGGATGAGCGCTATCCCGGAACGCTGGTCAGGTGCGTCGCTCACCTGGACAGCTGCCTGGTCCTGCAGGGCTTCCGAACAGAAGGCTTGGTTAGGGGCCAAGGCCATGGGGTAGGAGGAGAGGCTGTGGGGTGGGAGCGGGGAGATGGGATCGTTTCTTAGCCCGCGTGCCGTCTCTCTTCCACACTCACTTCGTGGAGGTGCTCGTACCACCTCAGCCCCCAGGTTAAAATGTCCCTCAGGCGTTTGCTGTTCCTTTAACACAGGACAGCCCAAGGTGAGCCTGGACATAGATGACTCTTAGCCGAGGGAGGCAGGCCTGTGCCACGAACCCGCTAGTGCGGTAGCTGATCACTGCCCCCACCCCCCACCCCCCACCCCCAGTTTCTTTCCGGTTTCCAGGTATGTGGTTGCTGGCAGACCTCCCCAGGCTGTGCTGCTTGGTCCTGGGTGTGTCCCGTGGAAGCGGGATCTTGTGGCTCTGCACTGCCTTAGAGTTGTGGGAGCAGCAGGGAGAGCCTCCCTCACCCCCACAGGCCGCCGGGTGAAACCGTCCATGGCGATGGAGGCTGCATTTGCTGCCTGGCGGGTGGTTAACCCACAAAGCCCGCTGTTAGCACCAGCGAGGAGTGCCTGTGCTGAGAAGCGATGAAGTGGAATAGATTCTAAGATGCCATGTTCCTCTTCCCCATTCCTCTTTCCTTAGAAAAGCGTTGGTTGTTGACTTTCCCAACTGGTTCCACATAGACAGGCCGGGCCGTACAGGTGTAACCGGGCGTCTGTGTTGCCCGTATCGCGGCCCTGGGGCTGCCCACAGGTGGCTGGTGTTTCTGCCGGGGCCCCTGTCCCGCCGGCACCGGGCAGCTTGGACCTGGGGCTCCTGTGTTACTTAACGGTCTTCCCCAGCCCCTGCGTGGTTCAAACCTAGACGGCACCGCTGCGCTCCCGGCCCGGCGGCCGCTGGGTCAGCACAGCCTGCACAGTGACGGGCCATCTGAGAGGGGCCCTCAGAGCAGGCCATTTGCCAAGTAACCGGAGGCTTCCCTGTGCCCGTGCCCTTCCTCCGTCAGATCCGCGCCCTTCCTGAGCGGACCGGCTTTTAGTAGCTGCTGCCACATTGTTAAAGGGCAGACGGAAAACAGCACGGGGCCTGTTCCTCCTGCCTCTGCGGGGCGGCCTCTCTGTCCCCGGCTCGGTCCCTGGCCCACCCTGGGCCCTGCAGGCTGTTGCTCTGGTTTCTAAGTGAACGAGTGCGGTGCGGACCCCCTGCAGCATTTGGCTGGGACAGTGCGCGTGGGAAGCGCATGGTGTCCCAGGGCACGTCCCCGGAGGCGCGCTGCGTCCTGAGTCCCGGGTGGTGCTCTGTGCAGCGTGCGCGGCTGGGACACCCACGCCCCATGTTTGTGTTCGCGGAAGATCTGACAGTCTGCTAGGCCTGTCAGTGCTTGTCACTGGGACTGAACTTTTGAGGTGGAATTTCAAATATTCCACATTCACTGTGAAATCGGATAAAAGTGACTATCAACTGCCAGGTGTTCTCGTCCGGCAGAATTGTTGGTGTATATCAGCTGTGTCGCCTCAACCCTTGAGGGCCAGTTTTTGTAAGACAAGAGCAGAAAGGGGGCGAGGAGAAGAGGAGGAAGGGAGGGGAGGAAGGAAGGAAACCTGGGAAAGGTAGGAAGGGAGGAGAGAAGAAGGGTTGGACGGGTGGACGGACAGACGTCTGAAAACTCGGGGAAAGAAGTGGCAGAGCCCTGGCCCTTGGATAAAAGCCGGGTGACCTGGGGAACGTGTGAGGGGAGCACCTTGATGCCCCCCAGTTTGTTTGGTTTCATTCATGTCAACACTGGGGGGGGGGTGCCCCTGCGCCCCTGGCCAGGCTCTCATGTGCCACCTGGGCTTTCCCAGATGTTCATCACGGGCTCCGCGGTGGCGGCCGGAGCCACGGGGAGGCTCCTCTTCGGCCACGACAGCTTCGGCAACGTGTGCGGCAGGAAGAACTCCCCCGTGGAGGGGGCCCCTCTTTCCGGGCAGGACATGACCCTAAAAAAGTAAGTGTCCACGTGAGCCTCCAACCTGCAGGGGGCTCCATGCCACACTTTGCGTCCATTGGTCATTCTGAGCCTGGGACCGTTTTCCCGTTAAAACTCTGAGGCCACGGCTTCAGAATCAACAGCCCTCGGATCAGACTCGGCTCTGCTGCCTGTCGGCTGTGCGCCCTCGGGCAGAGCCCGTCACCTCTCTGAGCTGAGTTTCCATCCGGTGAAGCCTGGTTCATTATCCCCCCTGCCAGGCTGTGGCCAGGATCCCGAGACACTGCCCGAGCTACGGCTCGCTGAACGCTGGTTGTTGCCGTCCTCCGCCTCCTCGTGTGTCAGTCCAGTGGCATGTGAGCACGGGCACACCATCCCCAGTGCTGTTTCCATGGAGAAACGCCCGCGTCCCGACTGGGAGCGCCGGGACTGTCCCTCCCCCGCCCCTGTCTGCACTCTCATCCGTGGCCCGAGGCGCAGGGAGAGGCAGGCCTCAGGTTCACAGCCTCCCCTCCTGCGGCTCTGGGTCCAGCTACTCTGAAGTAGATGGACTCGGGGCAGAGGTGCTTCCTGCGGGTTTCCTAGAGCGGACTGTGCGCTGCCCGCCTCCAGCCCCCTGGGAGGTCCAGGCGGCCCCTTCCCATCTCAGGCGGCTCCTGCTGTTGTCCCCCAGAAAACGCGGAGCTGGACAGGGATGTTAGGTAAAATGTTTCATGTACATTTGTGCATGCTACTAGCAAAGTCCGTAGAGACAAGTCTAGCTTCATTATTATTTATTTTTAAAGTAAGTCTTTATTGATTTTAGAGAGAGAGGAAGGGACAGGGAGAGAGAGAAACATCAATGATGAAAGAGAGACATCGATCGCTGCCTCCTGCACCCCTACCTGGGATCGAGCCCACCACCCAGGCATGGGCCCTGACCGGGACTCTAACCGGTGACCCGGCTTGTGGGTTGCAGCTCAACCACTGAGCCCCGCCCGATAGTTAACAGTTGAATGTGGCTCCTGCTGTGATGGGGGAGTGTGTGTGTGTGTGTGTGGGGGGGGGGTGGCGCGTGGCGCGCACTGACTTCTCGGAGGCATTCGTCGTGAGGCTTTGCTCCTTACACCTGCATCTGGTAGCTTGTGGCTATTTTTTAAGGCCCACGCTGACCCCCAGGAGAAGACCTGCTCTGAGGCGGTCCCCTCCTGTCTCCTGTCTCCCAGACATGTGTTCTTCATGGATTCCTGCCACCTGGACGTCAAGGATGGCCAGCTCGGCTCCACCGCCCTCTGCGTGGCCAGCTGCCCCGAGGAGCAGCTCGACACCCTGGAAGAAGTGCAGCTCTTCGCCAACAACACTGGTGGGTGCCGAGGGGCCCCGAGGGCGGGCCCCGCCCCAGGGGGGGGCTGCGGTGGGGTCACCTGTGTACACCTGCCAGAGACAACCTGCCCTGAGGGCCCCTCTTGACCTTAGGGGTCACCTGTGCTCTGTCTCTAGGTCCCCCACAGGCCCTTTCTAGATCCCAGGGATTCATCCCGTCTCCGCACAGTTTTGTACAAGGACGGGTTGCTGTGCTGGCTCCCCCAGGGACAGGGACAGGTCCTACAGTCTGCATATCTCCTGCTCCCAGGGTCCTTCCTGTGTGTGTACAGCTTGAGTCCCGCCAACTACACCCAGAATCCCGGTGCAGCCTCACTGTGCCCCAGGCTCCCAGTGCCTCCCAGGTAAAAGCCCATAGGGCTCCTGTCTGTCAACAAAGGTGATTGGGTGCCTGGCCCTGTCTATCACTCTTCTAGGCATTGTGGGAGGGGCAAAGGAGAGAGCATGGAGCTGTCTGCAGGGAGCAGGTTGGCCAGAGGCCAGGGACCAACCAGGTGGGGCTGTTTGTAGCGTTTGTAAGGACAGCGGGGTGGGAACCAGGCCGAGCAGGAGGAAACAGCAATAAGGTGCATGTGGTCCTCACACGGCACCTGGAGCCAGCAAGAGCGATGCATGCGCGTGTTAACGTAAGAAACATTCAGACCCGGAAAGAGTTTTTGTGAGTTTGAGCCAAATTGTTGACAATGGCCAGGAAGCAGGATCTCAGTGGATTGGGACAGTGCCCTGAGAGTGGCGGGTTTCACCTTGTTGTAAACATCACAATCCAAGGAGGGGACGCAAGTGGGCACTGAATCCATTGGTGATGGATTAGGGGGCGGGAGAAGGCAAAGGGGGGAACCCTGGGATTGGGTAAAAGTGAAATGATGGACACAGGCTGCCTCTACACAGGTGGGTGCAGGGTAGTTACAGTCAGCAACTAACACGCTAACAGTCACAGTGAGGGAACCTGTGGTCTCCGCCCTGGTGACCAGCTGTGCCCTGAGGGGTGGGGAAAAGGGAAGTTACTAGTTACCCTGACTTTCCCGAGGTGTGTTATCTTAGATGCAAAAGGACAACAGGCTCAGGAAAGACGGAAGTTGGTCTTTGTCAGGGAGGACACTGGCCTAGGACATGACTACCCACCATAGACTGCTTTCTTATTTAAAGAGTTTTAATTTCCAATGGAACTCCCATGGGACCCAGCGATCCCACTTCTAGGAATATATCCTAAGAAACCAGAAAAAGTGTATGCACCCCCATGTTCATAGCAGCTCAGTTTACAATAGCTGAGATCTGGAAAGTCCATCATCAGATGAGAGGGTAAAGCTGTGGTCCATCTACACCACGCAACCCTGCGCAGCCGTGAAAGAACGCTGACCCTCTGCAGCAGCGTGGGTGCGCCTGGAGAGCAACACCTCTGTCACAAAGTAGAATCCACTGACTTTTGCCTTTTTATTGCAACCAGGCATTCCTGGGTTTTTTTTAGAATTTGCATATTCATTCACACTGTGATATTCTGCACCGTCACACAGATGTTTTTCCTATTTCCCTTGACCATCACATGCCTCTCCTGGATGCATTTGTAACCTATTAGGATACCGAGCCCTGGTGTCAGGCTGCCACGGTGTGGGTGTGAGTTTTTATTTTTAGCTACTTAGGTAATCTTGAACAGATTCTCTACCTCTACCTTCTAGTTTCCTCCTTAACCACGTGGGGAAATCCTCATACTCCCATTACTCATTCAAAGCAGTTTACGAAGCAAGAGCCCTGTGCCCAGCGTGGTGGCTAAAGCGGGGAACACAGTATAGCAGGGAGTGAGTACACACAGGCCCCCCTCGCCCCGAGCCTTTCCATTCTGTAGCCGTGTCGGCCCCGTCCCCGTCCTCCTAAGAACCACGTGAACAGGCGTCTCCATCAGGCTCAGCTCTCCCACGCTGTTTCTGTGACCACGCGAGAGGCAGGGCTCCTTGGGAGTGTGGCCTGGCAGAGGCCCCCTTGGACTCACACCGAAGGGGGGCGCGTACCATGTGACCTAGGGTCACCAGACCAGCCCTTTCACGCTCAAATGCGACCCTTCCAATACCAGCTTTCCAAGTGAAGACAAACCCTACTGGCGGGCTTTCCTCGGACAGAGTTGGGGACATGGAGGCTCCATCTCCTCCTCCCGCACAAGCCAGTGTCTGTCCTGAGGTGGGGCAGTCGGGTTTATCCTGGGAGAGCCCACCAGGAGTGAAGGCTGGCAACCTGAGAAGCGTGGCTGCGGGGCCACAGCACATTTCCTGACTGCCTCCCTGTGACCACCATTGTTCCTCCCCCGCTGATCACGTGAGGCTCAGGTGCCCTCTCAGAGCAGTGGCTGGGTGCCCGGAAGGTGTGGGTGCCCAGGTAAGAGCTCTCAGGAGCAGTGAGAAAAGGCTGGGCCGGTCCCTGCCCAGCAGGCCCTCCCCCTCTGGAGTCCAAGGTCATGTAGGACTTTGAGTCCCGCGTGCCTTTGAAATCTGAAAGGCTTAGGTTTCCCTCCGGTGAATTCTGGTCCGGTCTCCCTCCTCCGTGCCCGTCCAGTCACTATGTCATTTGCTCGGATGAATTCTGTTAACATAAGAAGCATTCAAACCTGTAAAGAGTTTTTGTGAGTTTATTTGAGCCACACTGTGGGCAGTTGCCGGGAAGCAGACTCTCGGTGTATCGGGACAGTGCTGCGGAGAATGGCGTTTTCCCCTTGTTCTATACGTTGCAGTCAAAGGAGGAGACGTGTGCAGCACAGGAAACCCATTGGTGATGATGAGGGGGGCGGGAGACAGCAAAGGGGTGGAACCCCTGGGGTTGGATAAAAAGTTAAACGATGGCCACAGGCTTCCTTTACACGGGTGGGTGCAGGGTGGTTAACAGTCAGCAATGACTGTGATAACAGCAACAAGGAGGGGATTGTGGTCTCCGCCTGCTGCACTGGTTATGCCCTGAGGCGCCCGGGGAAAGGGAAGTTACCAGTTACCTGCTGGCCTCGGACGTGACCACCCACAATGGACGGCGTTTAATTAAAATGCTTTCAGTTCAGACCACCCTTTGGGGTCACTGAGGTCTCTGAGTTTGCAAGGCCGCCTTTCCCAATGATCTCTGGGTGCCTGCTTCCCAGAGTTCCCTTGGTCATTCCCCATCCAGAGGCATCAATCAGCTGTCACCATGGCGACAGGGATTGACGGCAGGCTCTCTGAGGGCCTCTGCTCGCAGGGTACTAAGCTCTTCTTATTACTGCCTCTCTTATGCTCCCTTGGTTGTTGAGCAGCGGTTCTCAACCTGTGGGTCGCGACCCCTTTGGCGGTCGAACGACCCTTTCACAGGGGTCGCCTAAGACCATCCTGCATATCAGAGATTTACATTACGATTCATAACAGTAGCAACATGACAGTTATGAAGGAGCAACGAAAATAATTTCATGGTTGGGTCACAACATGAGGAACTGTATTTAAAGGGCCAGAAGGTTGAGAACCACTGTTTGAGGATTCTAAACATCTTAAAAAAAAAAAAAGACAAGTAATTAAATAAACCTTTCCACCATTTCCCACCTTTTATTTTTAGCAAGCCTTTCCCCCTGTTTAGCCGCTGCGTCCCCCAGACGCCGGAGTGCTACTCCCTGTTCGCATCTGTCCTGATCAACGACGCGGACGCCCTCCATCGCGTGCTCGGCGGGATCATGTCGGGAAGAAACACGATCCTGGGCCTGTGTGTCCTTGCACTCGGTAGTCTTCACTTTCACTCATGACCCTCCGCGCGGGGCTGCCAGGGTCCCTCCCACTTACGGGTGTCGGACGATGAAAATCAGCCTCTTGATTAAATGTAGAGCCTCGCTCTGTGTGTCGCCCTCCCTCTGGGGGCGGAGCCTCTGGGCCCTCACACCGCGGTGGTCGCTGAACTCCGTGTTTGGCCTCTTTCCAGCCTTGTCTTTGGCCATGATGCTCACCTTCCGCGTCGCCACCCGCCTTCTGGTTCACACTTTGGTCGCGTTGGTTATTGTGGGGCTGCTGTGTGAGTATTTCCACTTGGTTTTCCTTTAAAAAGAATAATAAGTTATTTTTTTAAATTGATTTCAGAAAAGAAGGGAGAGGGAAGAGGGAGTGAGATAGAAACATCAAAGAGGAGACTCATCCATCGGCTGCCTCCCGCACGCCCCCTACTGGGGATCGAGCCCACAACCCGGGCCTGTGCCCTGACCGGGAACTGAACCCTGACCTCCTGGTTCCGAGGCCGGCGCTCAGCCACGGAGCCACGCGGCCGGGCTGGGTTTCTGTTGGACCAGGCGAAGAGCCTTTCCATTAAGCGTAGAAGTCAAAAGGCTCCAGGTTTTGGGTGAAGTGGGGCCTTAGAGAGCCTCCCCTCTGACCCCGTCTCACTGCACGTGGGGGACGAGCCTGCTGGTCATGATCTCGTGTCCATCCTGGAAAAGGGCCCCACTGCTTCCCTCTTCATTGCTGGGCTGGGGGAGGGGCCCCAGAGGCAGGGTGGGCAGGAGGCTCGGGGCAGCAGCCACACCCAGGGTCCAGGGATCTGAGCTTCCAGTCCCGGGTGCAGCCAGTGTCCTTCCCGGGAGAACCGCTGTGCCCTCCGCCATGCGGCGCCCTCGGCCCAGGTACACAGTGGGTCCCCGGGGGACACGCGCCAGGGCTGGAGAGGGACTGTGACCTTCCTGTCACTGTGGATGTGGCGAAGGTGGCAGAGTGTCTGCAGTGCCCGGCTCCTGCGGCCTCGTCACCAGCAGAGCCCGCTGGGAGGTTTTAGACTTTGGGTCGAATGTTGTTCCTCTCACCGTCCTGTTGGCACAGTCTCTCCCCTGCTCACCCCCTGCATCTCCCAAAGACACGCATCCACGCCATGTCTGGGTGGCCCTGGCCTGCCAGCCCTTCAGGGAGCCCAGGGACGTGTGGCCCCACGAGCTGGGTGCAGGTGGAGGTGCGTGGGCACCTGGGGCAGGTGCTGAGCCGTGCCTGGCCTCCCAGTTGTCTGTGGCGTCCTGTGGTGGCTGTATTACGACTACAGCGCTGACCTCAGCGTGGCGCTGGACACGGAACGGGACAACGTGACCTGCTTGCTGGGCTTTGCTGTGGTGGCCACGGTTCTCACGGTAAGAAATGCGCGGGGGGCGCAGGAGGTGGTGGTGGGGGGTGAGCCGGCCGCAGCTCTGAATCCAAGTGCCTGGTTTTAGCCGGAACAGGGAGAGCTTCTGTGTTTTCGCCTAGTGAGAGAGGACACTGGTTGTGTGTTTATCTGCGGTCCCCACACAGGGACACGCCCGGACCTTCCGGCACTAGGGACGCGTCTTCCCTCTCCCCTTTCCCGCCACCTCTCCGAGGCCGCCCTGCTGCCGTGCTTTCGTTGGCCTTGAGCGCAGTGGAGCCAAGTTCCAGGTGGCTGAAGGGTGGACGCTGCGGGGCACACTGTTCCCCGTGTGAGGACGATGCTCATGCCGCCCAGCAGCGCCCTCTGCTCCCTCCCCCGGGCTCTGGCCCTGGCCATCAGAGAACCTGCCACCTCTTCCAGACCCCCCTGTGGCAACAGGCAGACACGGAGGGTGTGGGCCACTCCCCAGGGGCGGGAATCCACGGGGCCTGCTGTGCATGACCCCCCGCCTCCCCCCCCCACACACACAGTGTGTCCCACGGCAAGTGCAGGACCAGCCTCAGGTCTAGTTCAAGACCCCGCCCACACGGTGTGCCCTCTGCCTGTCGCCTCATTGGTCACATGGGAGCACTGACAGGCTGTCGGGGTGTGGCCGTCCCTCCTCCCTGCAGGGCCCCCAGTGTCATGGGGAGATCGAGGCTGGGGAGCGGGCTGCTGGGGAGCAGGGGATGGCAGAGCCCAGGAATCCACCGCCTGCCCCCCGCCCGCTTCGTCCCTGCTCCCTGCGCGGGGAGGGGCACTGGCCTCCCCCTCAGGGTCTCCCAGCTGGTCTGTCGCTCAGACATGAGAGGAAGTAACCAGGGACCCGCACACACGAGACCCACCTGCAGGGGCTCAGAGCCGCTGTGAGACACCCTGGGCCAGGGTGTGGGGGGAGGGGGCTCTGTCCTTATGTGAGGCTCCTGTGCAGGGAGCAAGGCGGAGGAGGCGCGAGATGCTTTGCGGCAGTTAGACCGTCTGCGTCACGCGTGTTCCCTGCCCTTCGCAGCCCTTGTGTTCCCCATTACTTCCGTGCTGCGGGTGCCGGGGGGGGGGGGGGGCAGTCCCCAGCCCAGGGCCTCACTCTCATGCTCTCTTGCTCCCCAGCCGGCCACAGGCTCCTCAGGGCCGGGAGTGTGTCCTGCTCATGCCAGGGCGGCAGGGCCTCGCGGGGACCAGCGCGCACTAGGTGCTCAGTTCGCTTTTTAGAACGTGTCCCGGACAGCGAAAGCGGGAGTAGCTGTCCTAGCAGGGCTGCTGGCTGGGGCAGGGGAAGGGTGGGGTGTCCCAGCCTCTCCCTCTGCGGCACTTGGAACAGTTTAACCCCTTTCTCACCAGGCCGTTCTGCTGGTGCTGATTTTTATCCTGAGAAGGAGAACGAAGTTGGCAGTCGAGCTTCTGCAGGTCACCAACAAGGCCATCAGCCGCTGCCCCTTCCTGCTGCTCCAGCCGCTGTGGACGTGCGCTGTCCTCCTCCTCTTCTGGGCGTTTTGGGTGGCCGTGCTGCTGAGCCTGGGCACCGCAGGTGAGGTGGGTGCCACCGTGTCAGGGCCGCGTGTCGGGGCTGCCATGTGTCGGGGCTGCCGCGTGTCAGGGCTGCGTGTCAGGACCGCCGTGTGTCGGGGCCGCGTGTCGGGGCCGGGTGTCGGGGCCGTGCCGTGTCGGGGCCGCGTGTCGGGGCCGCCGTGTGTCGGGGCCGCGTGTCGGGGCCGTGTGTCGGGGCCGCCGCGTGTCAGGGCCGCGTGTCAGGGCCACGTGTCAGGACCGCCGCATGTCGGGGCCGTGTGTCAGGGCCGCTGTGTGTCAGGGCCACGTGTCAGGACCGCCGCGTGTCAGGGCCGCGTGTCGGGGCCGTATGTCGGGGCTGCCGTGTGTCGGGGCCACGTGTCGGGGCCGCTGCGTGTCGGGGCCGCGTGTCGGGGCCGCGTGTCGGGGCCGTGCCGTGTCGGGGCCGCGTGTCAAGGCCGTGCCGTGTGGTGGGACGGTTTGTGGGGCCGAGCCTCCCGGCAGCTAGGTGCCTGGTGAGGGTGATGGGCCCGGGCTGGGCCTGGGGAGGCGGGAAGCTCTCTCCTCTGTGGGTTGGAGAGCAGCTGGTTTTGTTTCACGAGAGAAACGGCAGGGAAGAGGGGGAGGGAGGGTCCCGGGAGATTCTTGGAAAGATGTGCGAGATTCTTGGGAAGCAGATGCCTTCAAGTGGGTGAGAAAGAGGATGTTGGGCGGTGGCCTTAGGCTCAGGGCAGAGAGGTGACCGTCCAGCCCAGGCCCGTGGCCACTGCCCCCCGGGGGCTTCTGACACGTGTCCAAGCTGAGCCTGGAGCCAAGTCCTTTCTTAGGTCCCCCAAGACCCATCGCATCCTGGGTCTGGTCCCTGAACTTCCCGACACTTTCTATTGCTACGTTGTAACAAAGCTCAGCAACAAAACAGCCTGTGCTCGCGGGGCTCCTGACTGCAGGGCCACAGCCGCCCAGGAGAGGGCAGCCACGTGCTGGGGACCGCCCGCCTGCCTGGGACTTCCCTGGGCTTTCAGGGAAGGAGCCTAACCCTAACCCTAACCCGGGGTTCGCTTACAGCCCTGGTTCCCGGGCACCGGTTTTGTCCCGCAGGTGGCGTTGGGCAGTCTGGAGACATTGGGGGCTGGCAGGACTCGGGTAGGGGCAGGAGGATGCTGCTGGCATCGGATGGGTAGAGGCCTCGAACCCTGCTGGACACCCTGCAAGGCACAGGCCTGCCCCCACCCCCAACAACGAGTTAAATGGTCCACAGTGCCCGTTAGTACGTGCAGAGCTGAGAAAGCCGGCCTGGAGCAGTGGTCGGCAAACTCACTAGTCAACAGAACCAAATATCAACAGTACAACGATTGAAATTTCCTTTGAGAGCCAAATTTTTTAAACTTAAACTATATAGGTAGGTACATTGTTATTGATTTAACTAGGGTACTCCTAAGGCTTAGGAAGAGCCACACTCAAGGGGCCAAAGAGCCGCATGTGGCTCGCGAGCCGCAGTTTGCCGACCACTGGCCTAGAGAAAAGGCTGTGAGCCGCCGGGTGACCAGAGCGAAGAGCAAGTCGGAGACGGCTCCCCAGACGTTCAGATCCAGCGGCGTCTGGTGGCGTGGGGCTGCCCGGGTGTGAGGGCCTGCGGGCCTCGGCTTGTCCCGTTAGCGACTGCCGCCTGTCTCCGTGCCTGCACCTCGTCGCTTTTACCAAGGCTACATTTTTGGTGACTCGGGGTTCTCTCCCGGGGCCCCCGCAGGTTCGGGGGGGCTCGGCCACAGGAGGTCTGTTGTCTCACAAGGCGGTTTGGAGGAAGATGGGTTTCAGCGCCCAGTGGGCGTGGCTTCCTGTTCTCCTCCCGCTAATCTCGAGTCCGAAAGGGTTGTGGCCCTTCCGAACCTCCCCGTGTCCACCCCCGCAAAGTGGGGTGAATAGGAAGGTGGACGCCGTGTGTCCTGCTCATTGCCCACCACCTGCCACTGCGATTATGGTTCACTGTGTCCGTAAGTTAAATGTGATCGGAATGCTGCGTTTTGCCGTGGGGCTCTTAGATTAGGATGGGCGGGCACTTGACACGTTACTGGGGCGTTTGTGTTTCATGGATGCCAGAGGCCGGGGGCGGGGGGCGGGGGGCGGAGGTGGGCCTGGGGGTCGGTGCTCGGACGGCGCTGGCGTGAGCATGTCTGTGCTCTAACCTTAGGAGCGGCCCAGGTCACCGCAGGGGGACGGGTGGAGTACCAGCCTCTCTCTGGCCTCCGCTACCTGTGGGGGTACCACCTCCTGGGCCTCCTCTGGACCAGCGACTTCATCCTCGCCTGCCAGCAGATGGTGGTGGCGGGGGCCGTGGCCGCCTGCTACTTCAACAGGTAGGTCCAGCCGCCCCGCTGCCCCCGCTGCCCCCGCTGCCCCCACTGCCCCCGCTGGCTGGCTTGTGTCGTCACATTGTGCGACTCAGAGGAATTTTGCAGTTTGGATGTGACCCCTTCAAAGGGACTGGCCAGAGCTACATGAAGCTAAAACTCTGGGTGCTTATTTGGTGGGAAAAGAAATGGTGTCCCTTCCGTCCGCCACAGGTCCAAGCTCTTTAAGGTAGAAAATCCCGCAGGAAGCCAGACGGGGAAATACAGGCTGCGTGGAGGGGAGAGAGCTGGAAGGCAGGGCTGACCTAAAGCTCCTGTTCCCGTGTGTGCGAGCGCATGGCTTCCTGCCTGTGCTTCCCGTGACTCTGCAGTGTTCACACCCATGACCTCACGGTGCCCGAGGACGCGCACACCCACGCACCTTCACCCGACCTGTCTGGCGACTCTCCACGTGGGGCAATGGTAACACCTCGGGCTAAAGAGGACCGGCCAGGACAGGCACAGGCCAGGATGCTGACAGGAAGCTCAGTCCCCGCTGGGCCAGCCCCCTCTAATCTCCGAGACCACGCGAGCAGATAACAGGGAGCTCCTGGGGGAGGAGAGTGGAGTGGGGACGGCTCGTGTCCTGGGCAGGCACCTCCTTCCTGCCCACAAAGAGTAGCTGGGGTTTCTTTTGTTTTGTATGTTTGTTTTAAAAATTTTTTTTAACGATTTCAAAAAGGAAGGGAGAGGGTGAGAGAGATAGAAACATCAGAGATGAGAGAGAATCATGGGTCGGCTGCCTCCTGCACGCCCCACACTGGGGATCGAGCCTGCAACACAGGCATGTGCCCTGACCGGGAATCCAACCGTGACCTCCTGGTCCATAGGTTGACGCTCAACCACAGGGTTGCACGTCGGTTAAATCTCACTGAAGCTGGAAAAGGACTCTGACTGGAAGCTTCAGTGTGATTGTGCTGAGCGGGAGGGCGTGGGAGAATCAGGCCCTGTGAGAGCTGAGTCTGCATTTCACGGCGGGGCGGCGTTCTCGGCGTGGCGTCCATGGCTGAGGATCAGGAAATGGCAGGAAGCCTGCGCACAGCGGCCGGGCCCCGGGCCCCTCCCGGCCGGGAAGCAGGGGTGCCCTCTGCCCCCAGCGCCCCCTCCTGAGAAGTCCGGAGGCACACAGACCTCCTAAATGGGAACATAAACATTCTTTAAAAAAAACAAAAACGAGGACAGGGAGCAATGTGTCAGACTCCCCTGGCCTGGCTCTCTGGTCAGATCCCCACGCTCCCATCAGCTGTCGCCCTCTGGCATTTCCTCCTCCGGCCGGACGCGGAGTTAAACACGCTCTCTTCTCCCTCCTGGAAGACTGACCGCAAAGCGCGCCTCTGCCAGCTCCGGAAACCGCGGCCGCGCCCCTTCCTCTCACAGGCCTAGGCGCCCTCAAAACCTGGGCTCCGCAGGCCTCTGGCAGCGGCTCCCCTCCCCGGGCGGAGCAGCGGCTTCTGGGAAGGGCCTCGGGCTCGGGAACCGGCCTGGCGGAATCCAGAGGGTCAGGGAGGGCCGCCCAGCGCTGGCCTTGGTCTCACCCTCAGGGCTGGGGGCGGCTCTGCCCCGCTCTCCTTCCCCTGCCTGTGCAGCTGGGCTCCGCCTGCTGGGAGCCCTGTCAGGACCAGTCCGTCCAGGAAATGACTCCACGGGGAGCCCTGGGAGTGGGACGGATCAGCTGGGTGTCAGGAGCCTGGGGCTGTGTGGAAGCCAGACTTCCCGGCTGGCCAGGGGAGTGCCCATCCCTCCCTGGCCACGGTCCCTGTCCCCGGATTCCGGAGTGATTCTAACCACCCAGCCAGGCGGGCAGCGTTCCCTGTGCGATTATACCTGGCAGATGATTACAGTGGAACTTCTGAACGTGAAGATGAGATTACCAGGCAGCTTAAAGGGCGGGTGGAAGGGGTGGCTGCTGCAAAGAGGGAACCTGGTTTCTTTTACCCACCAGTGTTTTATTTATTTATTTAATGTATTTTTATTGACTGCAGAGAGGAAGGGAGAGGGAGAGAGAGAGACACATCAATGATGAGAGAGAATCATGGATCGGCTGCCTCCTGCACGTCCCCTACTGGGGATGGAGCCCGCAACCCAGGCATGTGCCCTTGACTGGAATCGAACCTGGGACCCTTTGGTCCACAGGCCAATGCTCTGTCCACTGAGCTAAACTAGCCAGGGCCCCACCAGTGTTTTAAAAAGTTTTCTGGTCTACGTTTGTTTAGCAGCAGTTCTCAACCTGTGGGTCGCGACCCCTTTGGCGGTCGAACGACCTTTTCACAGGAGTTGCCTAAGACCATCCTGCATATCAGATACTTACGTTATGATTCATAACAGTAGAACATTACAGTTATGAAGTAGCAACGAAAATAATTTTATGGTTGGGTCACAACATGAGGAACTGTATTTAAAGGGCCAGAAGGTTGAGAACCACTGGTTTAGGGCATTGAGTGCCACCAACAGGAATTATCTTAGCCCAGGAAATGCTTTTCCCTCAGCAGCCGACGTGTAGGGACACGTCGCCACATGCTCTGCATCGCTGCTGGCCACCCGCATCCTGGCCGGGCACCCACTCCGGGCCGGGCACCCACTCCGGGCCGGGCACCATTAGTGCCATCGCCCATCTGAACCAGAGTTGGTGGTTCTCTCAGCAGTGGTTTAAAATACTGTCCTCTTCTCCTGTCCCCAGGAATGAACAGGACCCTCCCCATCGCCCCATCCTGTCGTCTCTCTCCATCCTTTTCTGCTACCACCAAGGGACAGTGGCGAAAGGGTCGCTTTTGATCACCGTGGTGAGGGTGCCACGAGCCGCCCTCATGTTCATTTCCAGGGCCCTGAAGGACAAGGTGAGGCCAAGGGCGACTGGGCCGCCCGGAGGGCCCTCCCCCACCCCACCCCACCCCCTGAGGACTGTCCCAATCCGCTGTTTGTGCTTTTCCACCCACACGGCAGGGGCGGGGGTGGGGTGGGGGGGAGGAGTTCTGAGTGCGCGCTTCCCTTCTTGTTTAAATGCTGAACAAATGGGAGGAATTCTTCCGAGGAAAATTTAAACCATTTTTAAAGGACGTTTAGATGCTTTTTTTAAAAGGGAAAAAAATACGCTACAAGATCTACAAGATTAGAATAATATTTGTTTGTGTTTTAATGCTAAAGTATTTCTTGCCTTTTGCGTTTCCTAAAGGGCGCCGTGGGGAGTCACTGGTGTGTGTGTGTGTGTGTGTGTGTGTGTGTGTGTGAGTGAGAGAGAGAGAGAGAGAGAGAGAGAGAGAGAGAGAGAGAGAGAGAGAAAAGGGCAGGATGACCCACATCTTGGCTCCAGAGCGGAGAACTGTGGGCCTTTGTGCGGCTGCCCCGGCTGCGTTTCCGTGCCGTTGGCTGTGAATGGCGGTGGAACCCAAGCTCCTGGGGACAGCTGTGCACAGGCTGTTCCTGGCCGACAGGCAGGGCAGGTGGGCCTTTCCCAGCTCTGCTCCCCCCGCAGCCTCCGCCAGGGTCAGAGTTCACAAACCTGACTCCGGCCGCTGGGCCTGGGCACCCGTGCTGGCCGAGTGGGGAAGTGTCACCCTCTGTGCCCTTCCAGGCAGCCACCTGACCTGTCCGTGTGTCAAGTCCACACTCACGACCCGAGGTCGGCGCCCGTGAGGGGTCGGGCAGTTCCAGGTCAGGTGGCCCAGGCTCTGGTCTGGAACTGCGGGCGGCGCGGCCCTGGCCAGTGTCCCCTTGTGTCGCCGTTGAAGTGGTGCTTTGTGAGCACTGGTTATGTGCCCGCGTTAAAAAAGTTATGTTGAACCTTTTTGAGGGGAAATAAATCCTATGGTGAGACTTTCAGGGCCGAATTTCGAGGGATGAAAGAATGCATCCATTTTTGGAATTAAAGGGGCGTTTCCACCTCCAGGTGGATCTGGCGGCTCTGGCTCCTGCGTTTGAAGTTGATCCTTCAGTTTAGGGGCCTTGGAGGAGGAAGTCTTGAACAGAATATATGTGCAGCCCCATGTGTATTTATGGGGGAGGAAACATTCTTCCATCTGCTGCTGATCTCATAATGAAAATAGAGCCTGGCCGGGTGGCTCAGTGGCTGAGCGTCAATCTGTGAGCCAGGAGGTCACGGTTCGATTCCTGGTCAGGGCACAGGCCCGGGTTGTGGGCTCATCCCCAGTGAGGGGCCTGCAGGAGGCAGCCGATCCGTGATTCTCTCTCATCATTAATGTTTCTCCCTCTCTCCCTTTCTCTCTGAAATCAATAAAAAATATTTAAAAATTCTAAAATAATTAAAAAAAAATAGACATGAGACAGACTAACAAGAGAAAATGGCCCCATTTAACCACGTGTGTGTATGGGAACGCCACGCACATGCGAGGCTCAGAGAGAGACAGGGAAGTGAGGGGAGAGGACCTCTGAGCGGGGGATGAGGTCACTGCCAGCCAGCGCGAGGAACAGATGTGCAGTAATTGGCCGTCTGTCCTGCCGTATAAATAGGCCGGAGACTGTTATTTCTGGTGGCCGCTCTATGGACAAGGCCCGCATCCAAATTCTTTAAGGGAGAGGAAGTGTTTCTTGTGAGCCCACAGGGTCTCACCTGCCTTCCGCTCCGAATATTTCACATGCCGGGGGGGGGGGGGGGGCAGTGCCGGGAGGCCTGTGCCGAGTGTGTGTGTGTGCGCGTGCGTGCGTGTGCCTGTGTGTGCGTGTGTGTGTGCGTGTGTGTGTGTGTGTGTAATCGTGAGTCAGTGAGCGGTCGGGCACCTCGCCTCCCCTCCCTGTGCTGCTAGCATCTTACCCTCCGGGGCAGCAGCCGTCCCTCACTGTAAAAAGTCAGGCTGGTCCCTCGGGCAGAGGTCTGAAAGGTCACTCACCCCCCAGGCCCCGGGACCGAGGGCCGCACCCCCTCTGAGCCATGTGCCTGCGGGAAGCGTGTCCCTTCCCAGGCTCCGGAGGACGTGCTCCGCGGCCTTGCAGGCTGCCCTGCGTGGTCCTCGCTGGGTGAGTGGCACACCCACAGCGGCCAGGCTGGGAGGTCTCCAAGTTTCCTGCCCGTGAATCGCCGTTAGGAGGAGAGCACGTCCACCGAAGGCCGGAGCTCCTGGGCCTCCCAGAGGCCTGTGTCAGGCTCATGTCAGGCCCCGGGGGCGATTCTGTAATGATTCCCGCTCGCCTTGCACACAAGTCCAGGAGACATCTCACAGGACTAACTTCTCTCTTAAAATGCAGCCCTGAACGTCTCACTATCGGATTCGTTTCCCAAAAAAGTTAGACTTGAATCTTTTTTTCGTGCGACCACAGGACTAGTGTCTGCAGAGCATACTTCGTTTTACTGACTTCGGGGTGTGGATTTGTCATGACGCTGAGCTGGTTTGAAAAAGCAAAGTCTCTCATTGAAGACACTGGAGGGAGGTGAAGGGAGAGAGGCTTTTACGCGAAGTCTGGGCTAGGCGTTACCTTTGATAGCACATATGAGCGAACCCACTTCCCTTCCCGTTGAAGGCGACAGCGGGGTAACAGGTGAGCCCCCGAGGGAGACACCTCGGTCGTCAGTAATAATAATAATAATACTACTAATAATAATAACAACTCGTGGCCGTGGCGTGTGCAGCAGGGGATCTCTCGCGCTCTGAGCGCCGCTGCAGGGCGTCCTGGGAGTGTGAGCTCCGGGAGAAGCAGTCGCAGAGCCTGCGCTCGCCTCGCCTCCCCTCCGGGGTCCTGACTGTCCTTTGCTTCTGCTCCTGTCCCGCAGCGGAGCGCCTGGTCCAGGTGCCTGCTCAGGTGCTGCTCCTGCTGCCTCTGCTGCCTGGACACACACCTGCGCCATCTCCACCAGGTAGGTCTCCACGCGGCCCGGGACGCGCAGCGGGGCTGCAGGTGGGCTCGTCTCGGCGGTCAGGGGTCGTCCTGGAGGTCAGGGTCTGTCAGCGCCGGGTCGTGTAACTGTTTTCGGCTTCTGGTCCCTGCAGTCGTGGTCACACCTGCTCTGCTCTGCCGTGGTCGCGGGCGAGCAGCCACGCACGGAGGGAAGTGGCCGGCCCGCTTGTGTTCAGGGAAGCGTTCCTGTGGGCACTGACGTTTGAATTCCATAGAATCTTCCCGTGTCCAGAAATCTGTGTTTTCCCAACCATTTAAAACATGTGAAGAGTGGGCTTCCCTCCGGCGGGGGCGAACGGGCTGCTGGCGGCCGTGGGCTGGGCGCGCAGGCCTAACGAGGACAGCTCGTTGGCGCCATTCTTCAAATTTGGAAAGAAAGGCGCTGCTCTTCTCAGAGCTAAGCGGAAGGGGCAGAGATCAGCGAGTGCAGTCTGTCAGCGACAGCTCGTTTCCAGCGTCTTCTCCGCGACTCTCATTTCCCTGAAACAGGAAGAGCTGCCTCCCTGACTTTATATGTTTCCCTGCCTTTCCCGCTCAAGCTGTAAATATTTCCTGTAAAAGTCAGAAAAGCTGCACACTGTGATGGTTTGAATTTCTGATGTTTTTTTCTCTCTGGAGTCTCTCAAACTGAGGAAATCTGCATATGTTTTATGTTTCTGTCGCTAATCTAGGAGATTTTAATAGCCCTTTGCCACGTGTGTGCAAAGCTGTGTTTTTGTGAGGGAGCAGGCTGTTTTCATTTAAGCGTCCACGGAATCTCACTTAGCCAAGCTCCCCTGCGCTAAAGACGTGAGCACTGATTGGACGTCCGTGCTTGCGGCTCCTAAGTGGCACGACAGCGCCTCTCATTGTTGGGGGAGAGGGGAGTCTTCCTGTGCTCAAGCCCTATCTTTAAGGCTCTTCCTAAGGACCTGGAGTGCCTTTCGTTTCCACTGGGGCTGCTGCGAGCCAGCATGTATAAGACTCAGTGAGACACCAGCACCTTTCAGAGGAGTGGGCAGAGCCGGGCCTGGGGCTGCCTGTCACCGTGGACTAGGCCCGCCTCCCTCCTCTGAGCTGGGCACCATCCAGACACCGCTTACTCCACAGAGACCCGCGATGTGTTACGAAAACGTACCGGGATAAGGGACATGCGTGCAGGAAAAGCAAGGCTGAGAAGCCGGGGGCGGACTAGAAAGACAACAGTAGCGGGACCACCAGTAGGCAAATATGGCCCAGCCGGCGGGCTCAGTGGGTGTGCGTCGGCCTATGAACCAGGTTCCATTCCGGTCAGGGCACAGGCCCGGGTCGCGGGCTCAATCCCCAGTGTGGGGCGTGCAGGAGGCAGCCGATCCATGATTCTCTCTCATCACTGATGTGTCTCTCTCCCTCTCCCTTCCTCTTGAAATCAATAAAAATATATTTTTTAACAAAAAAGACAAGTACGTTGGCCTGTGGCTCGTGGGCCTGCGTGGAGTGGCCCTCCCTGGCTGTGGTGTGTAAACACAGGGCCTCTCCATGACCCTCTGCCCTCGAGTGTGGGAACTGCCCCTGGAAGCCTAGGGCTCCCTGTGGACGGTGGGGGGAGAGAGAGGAGCGAGGAGAGTGGCCCTGGCCCCGAGCCTCCCCTGCCTCCCCCTCACCCCCCCCCCCAGCAGCCCTCCCCCATCTGGGTGGGGAGTGGAGTTCCACCCAAGGTTTCCTTTGAAGCGGGCTCTGCGGCCAAAACACGCTGGAAAGCCACCCTCTCGGGCACGTCCACGCTCGGGTCTCTGCCCACCGTCCCGTGTTGTCAGCGTTCCTTCACTTCACCGCCTCACAGCAACCCAGGCCCGTTCCCCTGGGGAGTTCAAAGGTGTCCAAGATCCCAAGTAGCTGAGTGTCGGCCACCCCGTTGTTCCCTGTGTGAAGGGGAGGCCGCTCAGCTCGCCCACCCAGCTGCAGAGCATCCGCGCTGCCAGCAGGCACCGCCTTGGAGTCTGATCGTGGTGCTGGGGCAGGAGGCCTTCGCCATCAACAAAACATCACTGCCAGCGACCAGCGCAAACGGGGGAACCGAGGCCCAGCGCAAACGGGGGAACCGAGGCCCGTAGGAAACCTGGAGACGAGAGAGGTGGGCTCTTGTAGAGAACGGTCCTGCCTGGTCCCTGATGGGTCCATTTCTATGCAAATGAGGAATCCAAATTTGCACAGTCTGATTGGTCAGGTTTGTGCCTTCTGATTGGGCACAGCTGGGCAGCCTGAGGGTTAAGTGATTGGGAAAGCAGAGGAGGAAGAAGAAAAGAACTGACGTGAACATGGCCGGCGAGAGCACCTGCAGTGGGGATGAATGCTGGGAAGCAGGACGGAAGGAAGACCAGGCTCCCGGGCGGTGCTGGGTGATGGTGGTCAGCGCTGCGTCCGCCTCGCTTGGCAGTGGGGAAGGAAAGTGAGCTGAAAGGGAGGCCAGGAATGTGGCCTTTTGAAAAGTTTCCTGGCACTGGAGCGAGTTGCTAGGGGAAGATTTCTCTGGAAACCAGATGAAAAGAGCAGAGGCCCATTTTGTTTTTCTTGTTTGTGCAGCAGGCACCGGGCAGTGCTAAGGAGAGAGACCCACTTCTCACCAGAGCCCAGCACTCTTCTTCTTCTTTTTCAATCGACTTGAGAGAGAGAAACATCAACTCATCAACATGGACCGGCTGCCTCCTGCACACCCTGACGGGGGATCGAGCCGAAACGGGGCATGTGCCCTGGCCGGGCCCTCCTGGCTCACAGGTCCACGCTCCCCCACGGAGCCACACAGCCGGGCCCCAGACAGCCTTCTTGAGGGAACATCGAGGAGCTGGTCGCTGCTTTAAAGCCTCACCTGCCCTCCCTGGTCCTGGGAGGGAGGCCGCGGCAGCTGCTGCATTTTGGAGACACCCAGGCTGAGGCCGGCAGTCATTCCCTTGCAGGGGGGAGGAGGGGGTGCAACCCTACATCGCTCCCCACTCCTGTCTGCGTCGTAAATACCAGATGTGTGTCTCCCTGGAGAAATTATAGGTGTGCGCCTCACACATCTGTCTACCCAGCCGCCACTTAGTCATGCTCTGTCCAGCCTTTGAACTCGGGCGCGATGGGGGCGGGGATGCAAGCAGCAGGGACTCCAGAGCAGGGCCAGGCCTCGTGGGAATTCTCCCTGTCCGCTCCGATGCCGGAAACCCACGGTGGAAGGCGGGGGGGAGGCGAGGGGGGGTGTGCACAGGACACTTCCTGGGGGCTCCAAGGTGCCTGGACGGTCCAGGGTGCCCTCCCCAGCTCTCAGGCAGTGGCCGAAGCCCCTAGAACGTCCTCTCCGCGGCTGAAGGCTGTGGCCCACCGTAAAGCTCAGGGTGTCACCAAGCTCAGGAGAGGGCGATGCAGGACTCCACACGGGTGTTTTCCTCCGTGTCCTGACGACTCCACTCCGGCTCAGGGGGGGCCCTGGGCCCTGCCAGCGGCTGCGCTGCCCTCACCTGCACCTCACGCTGCCGCTCCTACCGCGTGAGCCCTGCGCTCTCCACCCCTGTTCTCTGGGAGCCTAAAGGCGGCTCGAGGGGCGGGCGTGTGAGGGGACCCGGGTGATTTGACCCTCCAGGGCCGTGCTGTTTGCTGCACCTCAGGCGGATCTGTCTTCAAGCCTCTCCCTGCCCCCCATGGGGTCCCCCCCACCCCCATCAGTGGCAAAGGCTCGGTGTTCTCTGTGCCAGGATTGGGCTCATCCCGCGCCACCTGCCGGTCCCAGCGGCTCCTCTCCTGTCCGCTCCCCGAGGCCACAGGGGCCTCCCAGGGGAAGAGGCGACCGCGGTGCCGTCTCTGGCTGGGTCCTGGAAGGGGGTGACCGTGCTCAGGGGGACACCGCTCTTTTGGTAGCGGACGTGCCACAGCGGTGGCCTCATCCCAGGGCCTCTGTGCGGCCGCCTCTCGGGGACGCAGTGGCTCCGCGTCCGCAGTCCCCCCCCCCCCCCCCCCCAGTGCTATTCTGGCCGGGCGGCGGATGGCCGGCGCCGAGAGCCGGGACGCCCACGTGCGGGGGTCTGAGAAGGAAGCTTGCCGTGGGCTGCTGGATGGTGTGCGTGGAGGCGTGTTCCTGGGCAGGCAAATGGCCACAGCAGCTGTCGCACTGCAGGTGCTGCTGCCGCTTTAGATAGAAAGGAATGGAGACGCCTGCTTATCTGGCCCCAGACTGGGGGGGGGGGGGGGGGGTGTTTCCTGCCGCCACTCAGCAGCCCCTCGGGCGCCCGCTCCCACCTGCTGGGCACTGGGGTCCCAGGGTCAGGGCTCAGGAGGGGCCCTACGGCCTCTTACCCAAGCGGCCTTAGCACCCCTCCTCCTCGCGGGGGACGGGCCTCCCTCCGCCTGCCACCTCCCCACAGGTCATGCTCTGGCCCAGGGCCGCTAGCCAGGGGTGGCCTGGGAGCAAGCCCTGCCCCTCCTGGCCCTGTGGGGGGACTGGGGCCTTCCTGTCCTGGGTGCAGGCAGAGCTGCCCCTTTCCCAGCAGTATGTGAGGTCGTGTTGCGAGGTCTGTGACTGACGCCCCCGGAGACACGCTTCCCACACTGGGCGCCGGGCGCTTTGCTGGCTGTTTTATGGGGACTCGGCTTTCATCCTCCCAGCTCCCTGGGCGGCAGGTGCTGTAACTCCCTGCGGGGAGGGGGCTGAGGTCTGAGGGGTGAGATCATTGTCCCCCCACCCCCCCAAGGCAGCCAGCAGGTCCGCTGCGGGGCTGGGATCTGAGCCCAGAGACTGGCTGCGGAGCCGGTGCCTCCGGAACCACCAGCCTTTAGACGCCTCTGTTCCGGTGAAGATGGGCAGTGACGTCCAGGGGGAGAGCTCGGGCTCACGGGGGGGTGGGGGTGGGGGCCTGCGGAGGTGCTTGATCCTGGTTTCTGTCCATAAAAGGACGGTTATGCAGCCCCCCCCCCCCCCACACACACACCTGTTCTCAGGAGTGATGACCCGGTCAGAGGCTCTGGGAACTGGGGGTGATTGAAGCTGCTTCGTTAAGTGGCGAGCGAGTGAGTTTGGGCCTCCCTGTGCCAGGTGTGGGTCCCCCCCCCCCGGGTCAGCTCCCACCGGCCACCAGTGGGGTTTCACAGGCCAGCGAAGCATGGATTCCCTCTACGTCGGCCCAGGAGGGTGTTTCCTGGGGCCTCCCCGGCCGTCTGACTGAGAACGTCCCTCCGACAGCAGGTGCCGGTGGGCGGGCCAGGCTCCCGCCGCTGTGCTGAGGGGGGAGTTCGCTGGGGGGGGCAGGTCCGCCCCTGGCTTCACCTGTTACCGCTGTTACCGTCGCACGGGCTGCAGGCTGTGGGCTGAGTGGCTGTGGGGGACCCCATGGTGGCCTCCTGGGGACGTTGCTAAGGGGCCGTGTGACGGGCTCCTGTGTCAGGAGAGGAAACTCTCATCCTTCGTCCAAGCCCAGAGCGCGGTGTCGCAGGTCGTGTGTGGTCCCCGGAAAGCGACCGGCTCCTCCCTCGCTGGAGCGGCCGCGCACGCGGTGCTGGTGGAGGTTTGAAGGGAGATGTAGGAACAGGTGCTTTTGAAATGATCGTGTCGTCACAAGGGAAGGTGCTGGAAAAATGACCCAAGAAACCTCCTCACGTGAACGCGCACACGTACACAACACACATGTGCACACATGCAGCACACGCACTCTCTCTCTCTCTCTCTCTCTCTCTCTCTCTCTCTCTCTCTCTCTCTCTGACTTAGTGATCCCATTTCTGGAAGTTTATCTTAAACAAATGGTCCAAAATCGGGAAGTGAAGATGTCCATTGCATAGTTATTTATAAAAGCAAAATATTAGAAATAGTATGATGTGTACCAGTCCCCCACCATGGAAATTACATTCATTGCAGATTAAAATGACCACTAGAATGGGTGTGACTCCTGAGTCTGCGGGGCGCTCAGTTCCCTCCCGGGGCATGGTCTCCCGGGAAGGGGTGACGCCCTGACCCAGCCTCTCTGATTCCAGCCCACCGGCCTTGGGGGCAGCTCACCAGCCACCGGGGGCTGCTTTGTGTCCGGCACTCAACTTCCTCTCCTGCCCTCAGACTCTGCAGGGCGTCACAGCATCATTCCTTGGCCCTCGTTCCCGTATGCTTTTAAAAAATATATTTGTATTGATTTCAGAGAGGAAGGGAGAGGGAGAGAGAGAGAGAGAGAGAAACATCAGTGATGAGAGAGTCATGGACCGGCTGCCTCCTGCACGCCCCACACGGGGGATGGAGCCCGCAACCCGGGCCTGTGCGGGAATCCAACCCTCACCTCCTGGTTCATAGGTCGACGCTCAACCATCGAGCCACACTAGCTGGGCCGATGTGCGTGTCGTGCGATGCTCTAGCCACCCTACCGACCCCAGGTGCTTATGTATCTCCGTTGACTGCCGCTCGGTGAGAACTGAAATCTGAGACGTCGCAGCGGCAGGATGTGCTACGGGCGCCTCGTGACTGGTTTTCTTCGGGACGCTCGTAGCCGACGTCACATTGTCCTGAGACCGGGCACGCGGCGCCTCATCTTTCTGACCGCCGCCTGTCGTTCCAGAACGCGTACGCGGCCACGGCCATCAACGGGACCGAGTTCTGTACGTCCGCGAAGGACGCGCTCAGGCTCTTGTCCGAGAACTCGAGTCATTTCACGTCGGTTAGCTGCTTCGGGGACTTCGTCGTCTTCCTAGGCAAGGTGAGGCGTGTCCCCGGAATAATAAGCAGGCACGGGGTGGGGGCTGACGCGCAGCCCTGCAGCGGGCTGGGCGTGCGGGCGCCTCTCTGGCTCCCCCGAAGGCAGACGCCTGCCTCCTCTTTGCGTTGGATCCCCAGCCCCGGGGCCCACACTGAACAAGGCCTCGGCTCCCTTGTGGGGCCCGTGGCTGCTCCCGTAGCGTGTCCGCCTCCGTGGGGGGCCGCACATTAGCCCTGACCCAGGCCCTGGCTGCGCGGGGGCCGCATCCTGGTGTGAGCCCGGCCCCGTGGGCGCCGATGGCTCCGTCTGGCCTCTCTGATGTTCGAGGGTCTAGCATTGGTCTGTCCACATTGCTGTCCTGGTGAGCTGTGGTCAGTGACGTGCTACGACATGCCATGACACGCCTGGGCCCAGCCGGTGGGTGTGACGTGCACATACGTTAGGCTCCGCCAGCCGAGAGGCTCCGTGTGGCGGTCACCGCAGAAGCACCACTGTGGCCGGTGCCGCCTTCAGAGCCGCCGGCCACCGAGACGGAGGTGGCCCTCGAACGGGCGTGATGGCGGGCGGCCTGCTCTCTCATAACCGTGTTCCCAGACGCTCTCTGGGCCGAGGCTTCGCCTCTGAGACAGACGTGCCTTTCATTTAACTTGGGAGCAGCCGTTTCCCTCGTCTCCCATGATGAGCCCGTAGTTGCCCAGAGCCTCCCGCGCCCGTGGACACCGGTGACCGTGTGTGTGTTCAACCAAGTGCCGCTCCGACGTCACGTCCGCCTCGCGGGCGCCGAGGGCCCGCGGACTCCAGCTGGCCGAGCTATGGCTGTTGAAGAATTGGGTGCCACCTGGCCTCATCCCGTCCGGGAGATGGAACCTCTGCCTGTGGACAGAGCCGATGACCCGTCCCCCCCCCCGCTGCACGGGGAGCCCTCCGCCCAGTCCTCGGGCGCAAGTGACCGCGTGCTAAGGGCAGTGCCCGTCGGGACTGTCGCCGCACGTGCAAGGGGCGCTTATGAAGAGTTTACCGTGGGGCGCACTGCGGGGTGAGAGTGAGGCCCCAGGGCCCCAGATAAATGCGGACGAGGCGCCGATGGGATGGGAGTACAGCCCCTCCCCCTCCTCCACGGCTGCTCCCTGTCACAGCTTCGTGTTCTCGTCCCCTTTCATCGTCCCAGCGGTTCTGACGTGCGTGCTTGGCCACAGGGCACCTGCAGTCCCCCCCCCCACACACACACATACACAGTCACACATGCACACGTGCAGTCCCACGCACACATACACACGCAGTCCCGCACGCACGCACAGTCACACACACAAAGTCACACACACGCACGGCCTCCCCTCCCACACACAGCCCGGCACACAGTCCCCCACGCACGCACACGTGTGAAACTGCAGTAACTGAGACATTTTCTGACGTGCTCCCACGGCGTCTGAGGACGTGAGCGCACTCTTGCTCCGACAGGTGCTGGTGGCGTGTCTGACCGTGTTCGGAGGGCTGATGGCCTTCAACTACCACCGCATGCTGCAGGTGTGGGCCGTGCCGCTGCTCCTGGCCGCCGCCCTCGCCTACCTGGTGGCGCACAGTTTCCTGTCCGTGTTCGAGACCGTGCTGGGCGCCCTGCTGCTGTGCTTGGCTGCCGACCTGCACACGAATGACGGCTCGCCCGGAAAGCCCTACTTCATGGACCACGAGCTATTGGTGAGCACACACCGCGCCTGCGGCGACCTGCATGCTCCCGGCGGGGGAGCCTCGGCCTCCTCCGGGACAGGCAGCCTGCGTCTCCTCTGCCGGGGGGGGGGGGGGGGGGGGGGGGGGGAGTGGGGGTTCTCTGGGCTCCCACTCGGCCGGCCAGTTGAGACCCCTGGAGAGGAGGGAGGCCGCACGTGAGCACTGACCCATGGCCCTGGCTGCAGGGGGGACGCCTCATGCCTGAGCCCCGTGGGCGCTCATGGCTCGGTCTGGCCTCTCTGACGTTTGGGGTTTAGCAGTTGATCTTTTCCCAAAGCATTTGGCACCCGCGCGCCCGCCACCCCCACAGTCGGTCAGGGGCCGTCGCTACAGTGAAGGCTCCGTCTGGCCGGGTGGCGGCGGGTCTGCCATCGCGGGCCCTCTGCTCACCCGCAGCCCCGGCAGCTGTCCCCGCTCATCCCTGCAGACGGGCCTTTGGACAGCTGGGCGTCTCATCTCCCCGCTGTCGGGGCCAGTGGCGTCCGGATAATCCTCGTTCGTTGTCGCCATAAAACGTAGGCGTTAAAGCCCCTTCGCTTCTAAGAGCAGCAGGCGCAGCCCCTCTGCGCGGCCCCTCCGCGTCTGTAACGACGTGTCCTCAGCCTCCACGCAAACAGGAGGCGCCCGCGGAGCCGCGGAGTCACGTGTCCGCAGTCGCGGGAGGTGCTCCGGAGGCGGCAGGACGCGGGCAGCGCTTCTTGTTCCGGTTCCCACTTTTCTGACTTAAAATCCACTTGGAAATCTACCCCCCTCCCCCCAATATTTTAATTCAATAGGGGACACTTTTTAAAAAAGATTTTTAGAGAGAGGAAGGGAGAGGGAGGGCAGGAAGAAGTGGGGGAGAGACATTGATGTGAGAGAGGAACGCCCTGTGAGAGCAGAACTTCGATCGGCTGCCCCTGCCCGCCGCCCCCGGGGATCGAGCCCACAGTCCCAGGCCTGTGCCCGACAGGAGAGTGAACCTGTGATCCTCAGCGCATGGGACGATGCCCAACCAACTGAGCCACCCGGCCAGGGCTGGGGGGACTTTTTAAGGATTCAGTTCCCCAAAGTGATGTGGCCAGGCACACGGCTGCCAAGCGTATGTAGGCCACAACCCTGGCCACGCGCCCTCCTGCTTGCAGAGTTTTGTGAAGAGGATGAACAGATGGCACCGCGAGGGGCCGCAGGGCGCCGGGGGCTCCACGAGGAACCGAGAGGGAACGGAACTCCGGCCCGTGGTCCGCTCCACCTGCTAGGTACCGGGAGGGGCCTCCTCCTCCCAGCCCTTCACCCAATAAACACACAGGCCAGCCGTCCTCCACGCGTGGTCCGTGCCACCCCTCCAGCCCGTCCTCCACGCGTGGTCCTTGCCGCCGGCCCCTCCCAGCCCGTCCTTCACGCGTGGTCCTTGCCGGCCCCTCCCAGCCCGTCCTCCACGCGTGGTCCTTGCCGCCCCTCCCAGCCCGTCCTCCACGCGTGGTCCTTGCCGCCGGCCCCTCCCAGCCCGTCCTCCACGCGTGGTCCTTGCCGCCCCTCGCAGCCCGTCCTCCACGCGTGGTCCTTGCCGCCCCTCCCAGCCCGTCCTCCACGCGTGGTCCTTGCCGCCGGCCCCTCCCAGCCCGTCCTCCACGCGTGGTCCTTGCCGCCCCTCGCAGCCCGTCCTCCACGCGTGGTCCTTGCCGCCCCTCCCAGCCCGTCCTCCACGCGTGGTCCTTGCCGTCCCTCCCAGCCCGTCCTCCACGCGTGGTCCTTGCCGCCGGCCCCTCCCAGCCCGTCCTCCACGCGTGGTCCTTGCCGCCCCTCGCAGCCCGTCCTCCACGCGTGGTCCTTGCCGCCCCTCCCAGCCCGTCCTCCACGCGTGGTCCTTGCCGCCGGCCCCTCCCAGCCCGTCCTCCACGCGTGGTCCTTGCCGCCCCTCCCAGCCCGTCCTCCACGCGTGGTCCTTGCCGCCCCTCCCAGCCCGTCCTCCACGCGTGGTCCTTGCCGCCCCTCCAGCCCGTCCTCCACGCGTGGTCCTTGCCGCCGGCCCCTCCCAGCCCGTCCTCCACGCGTGGTCCTTGCCGCCCCTCGCAGCCTGTCCTCCACGCGTGGTCCTTGCCGCCCCTCCCGGCCTCTCACACTCGCTGGGTCGAGACCCTCTAGGACCACGTTTACGCCCCGCTCAGGGGCGCAGTCACACTCGCGCTCCGGGCAGCAGTCGGCACCTCAGCGGAAAGGCTGCCGCCGCGTCCAGAGCAGGGCCCCGCCATGTGCCGTCCTGGAGCGGCTCAGCTGTCACAGCTGCGTGTGCAGTTCTCCCACGTGACCGTGACCATCAGCGCCACACCTCTCCCTTGGCGGCCGCCGTGACGCGGGCCGGGCAGGGGCACCAGATGTGATGAGGCTGGTGGGCCCAGCCCCCCGCTCACAGCCAGCAAATGTCGGGGCCAGCCCCGCCCCAGAGCCATGGCAGCGACCAGGGCAGAGGGGGTGGGGCCGCTTTTCCCCCCTGAAAGCTTCGAACGGGGTGCAACGCTCCACGTGCCGCTGGCGCCTCCCCTCAGCTCGGTGAGCGGTGAGCAGGTACCACCGTCCCGAGGGACTGGGTGGCTCCCGCAGGGCGAGCGGGGCAGAGGCTGCGGCCCTGGGCTCCCCAGCCAGCGCAGATGCACCGTCGGATTTGCAAAGGGGTCACGGAGCGGGTTCCGGAAACAGTCACTGTGCCGATAGGCAAGTGGACGGGGCTTTTGTGGGCACGTGGCACTCGGGCACATCCTCCCCCCCCGCCCCCCCGCCTCAGCCAACACTAGCGGGTGCCCCTGCCCCAGAGCCAGTCCCTCGGGAGGAAGCAGGTGGCCGGGAAACGTTAGAGTGTGTGTGTCGCCGGGCCTGTTAGCGAGTGGACTTTGTCATCATCGTAACCTCTCAGCCCCTTGACCCTCTGTGTGTCTCGAGTGAAGGCTGGATTTGCTGACACCTCATATCATACACCCCAGTTTACTATCAAAGGTCCTGTTCCTGACCCAGAGATTAGAACTGAATAGATTGTCTTAAAGTAACAGCATTATAAGTGATTTTAAAGGTACTCATCTGAACGTTTTGTGTGGTTTATTCCTAGGTAACGTATTCTTTCTCAGAATTTACTTTTCAAGCAGAGGTGACGTACAGTGTCACGCAGCGGCAGGTGTACTGCATGTGGTCAGGCTCCTATGTAACTACGAAGCGGTCGCCCCGTAAGCGCAGCACCTCGGGCACACACAGCTGCTGCGGGGTCGCTCACCGTGCTCCCTGCTGTGCTCACATCCGCCACTGGCCTCACCAGCCACTGGTCTCACCAGCCACTGGTCTCACCAGCCACTGGCCTCACCAGCCACTGGTCTCACCAGCCACTGGCCTCACCAGCCACTGGCCTCACCAGCCACTGGTCTCACCAGCCACTGGCCTCACCAGCCACTGGTCTCACCAGCCACTGGCCTCACCAGCCACTGGTCTCACCAGCCACTGGCCTCACCACCGCCATTTGTACTTTCAATCCCTTCCCTTTGCACTCATCCCCCCCAGCTCCCTCCCATCGTGCAACTAACAGCTTGTTCTCTGTGTCTGAGTTTGTGTCTGTTTTGTTCATTCATGTTACTTTTTACATTCCGCATATAAGCGATATCGTGCAGTGTCTGACTTATTTCACTTCACGTTACCATCTAGGCCAGCGGTTCTAACCTGTGGGTTGCGACCCCTTTGGCAGTAGAACGACCCTTTCACAGGGGTCGCCTAAATCCATCCTGCATATCAGATATTTACATGACATTCATAACAGTAGCAACATGACAGTGATGAAGTAGCAACGAAAATAATTTTATGGTTGGGGGTCACCACATGAGGAGCTGTATGAAAGGGCCGCGGCGTCAGGAAGGTTGAGAACCGCTGCTCTAGGCCCATCCCTGTTGTCACGGACGGCAAGACTCCATTCCTTTCACGGTGAGTGCATCCGTCGTGTTCACGCACCTCCGCCGTTGTAGCCACTCGCCTGCCCGCGGACACCAGGTCGCCTCCGTATCTCGGCTGTTGTGAATTTTGCACAGTGAACAGAGGGGTGCGTATATCTTTTCAAAGCAGCGTTTAGGTTTTCTTCAGACATATTCCCAGAAGTGGAATGGCTGGGTCACATGGCAGTTCTATTTTTAATTTTCTGAGGAATCTCCACACTGTTTCCCACCGCGGCTGCACGGCCTGCCTCCCACAGCAGCCGTGGGGTCCCGTTCTCCACGCCCTCGCCCGCACTTGTCTGCGGGTTACTGACGGCAGCCGTCTGACAGGCGTGAGGCGGTGCGTGTGGTTTGACTGGAGTCTCTCTGATGGTTACAGACTTGGAGCGTCCCTTCACGCGTCCGTTGGCCACCTGTGTGTCCTCTTCGGAGGAGCGTCTACACGGGTCCTCGGCCCTTTTTTAAATTCCATTGTTTGGGTTTGTTTTTGTTTTTATGTTGAGCTATGCGAGTTCTGGATAAACTTGGATATTGACCCATTATCAGATACACCATTTGCAAATATCTCCTCCCATTCAGTATGTTGCCTTCTGTTTCGGTGATGGTTTTCTTTGTGATGCGAAAGCTTTTTAATTCGAGGTAGTCTCATTTGTGTGTTTTCATTTGTTGTCTTTGCCCGTATAAAAAATTACCAGACCCACATATGTGGGCTTGTCATAGATGCCTTTATTATGGCGACGTACGCTCCCTCTACCCCCACTGTGCTGAGAGCTTTTATCATCATGGATGATGGGTTTTGCCACATGCTTTCTCCGCATCTAGTGATAATGATCACATAATGCTTATCCGTCATTTATTTTATTTACGTGGTGTATCACGTTCATTGATATCTGAATATTGAACCAACCTTGTATCTTGAGAATTAACCCCGCTTGGTCACGGTGTATTATCCTATCAATGTGTTGCTGGATTTGGGTTGCTGATATTTTGTGGAGGGTTTTGCATCTGTGTTCATCAGGGATGTTGGCATGTGGCTTTATTGCTGTGTAGTCTGTCTGGCTGGGGAGTCAGGGTGATGGTGGCCTCGTGACATGAACTTGTGACGTTCCCTCCTCTTCCGTTTTTTTTGGGAGAGTTGGAGGACAGTGCTCCTCGAACGTTCGGTGGAATTCACCGGTGAAGACATCTGGTTTGTTTTTTATTACCGATTTGGTTTCATGACTAGTAGTCTGTTCAGGTTTCCTGCTTCTTCTTGAGTCAGTCTTGGAAGATTGTATGTATATTTCTAGGAACTGATCCATTTGTTCTAGGTTGTCCAGTTTGTTGGCATATACCTGTTTGTAATAGTTTCTTATAATCCTTTGTATTTCTGCCACTTCTCCTTTCATTTCTGATTGTATTTTTCAGCGGCGGGTTGGGGGTGGGGGCTGTCTCTTTTTTCTTGATGTGTCTGGCTAAACATTTATCAATTTTGTTTATCTTTCCATAGAACCAGCTCTTGGTTTTATTGATCTTTTTTATTTCTTATTATTTATTGTATTTATACAGGATCTTTCTACTTTAGTCTTTGCACTAGCTTTAATTGCTTGATTCCCTACTCTTACCAAGTGTTTGCCTTTGTCATGAGGTTTTTTTTCCCGCTCCTATATTTTCTTATTCATATATTTTGATCTTTTTTTTTTCTGCCTAAACAAGCTCCTTTAACATCTTTTGTAATGCTTGTTAGTGGTGATGAACTCTTAGCTTTTTCCTATCTAGGAAATGCTCTCTCCTTCGATTCCAAACGATGACCTTATGGGTAACCTCGGCTGTGGGGCCTTGCTGTTCATCACTGAATGCCACCTGCCGGGCCCTTCTGGCCTGCAAAGTCCCTGCGGAGAAACCAGCTGACAGTGGTATGGGAGCTCCCTCGCAGGTAACCGACTGCTGGCTTTTGCTCCCCTTCACGGTTCTGTCTGCCTCTAACCTTCGGCATTTTAAATACGTTGTGTCTTGGTGCAGCCTCTTTGGTTTCCTGTTGTTTGGGACTCTCTGTGCTGCCTGGACTTGTAAGTCTATTTTCTTTGCCAGGTTAGGGAAGTTTCAGTCATTATTTTTTTAAATAGGTTTTCAATCCTTTTCTCTCTCTCTTCTCCTCTGGGACCCCTATGTTGTGAACGTTGTTATGCTTGATG